TCTCTCATCAACAAAATCCGGCAGGTCGCCTCGACACTGCTGAACGATGCACCTGAGAGGAAGGGGCCAGTTGCTATGAATTCTGAGGAGGCGCTAATGCGATTGATCGATGTCCTTCTAAAGCTGGAAGGGACAGGCCCCAGTGGCAGTAATATGGCTGGGGAGAATATGACGCCGCAGGATGAGGAAGAGGAAATGCGGAATTGGGCCCACCTCCGCGATTACCAGCAGCGATTTGCTGCTCACGGAGGGTTTGCCGGAAACATTTGATTATGGAAGGAATCCAAGTTGGGCACGGAGCGAGGATCATAACTGTTCGGCTCGCAGGAAGGCGATGCGCCTATATAATATCGTGCGGCAGGTATATGAAATACCTGAGGAGTCCGAAGATCAGGGTCGATGATTCCCTTGGAATTGGGCGAAGCCTAGTCTCGTGTAGCAAGTATCATGTCATAATATTGATGGCTCTTGAGTCTAACCGACCAACATCCTCGTTACAACTGCCAGAAGGCTTTCCGCCATCCTCATTCAAGCCGTCCGTGCCGTCTATCATGTCTGGGAATACAACCCTTCCTCCAAAGCCTTGATCTGCAGCGCCAACAAGCGGGAGTACGAACGGCACAACGCCAGATTACCACCCATATACCAGAACCCAGGATGACCACTGCTTCGCCAGATCTGTCTACGTTAGTGTCATGCCGATCTCGAGATATGGCAAAGACTCACCGAGTTGATCTCTCCCTGCTCGTCCAGGTCCCAGCACTCTTTGAGGCGATCAGCTACTTTATCCCCGAATACCTTGCGCGCAGTAGATTTCATCCCGTCGTATCCCGTCGCAAGAACAACAATGTCGGCGTCCAGAGTCGTCCCATCCGCTAGAGCCAGTCCGTTTGGCGTAAACTTCTCGATACCCTTGGGGCTATGGTGGACTTTGACTTTACCGTCAGCGATGAGCTCGCTGCATCCCACGTTGATGTAGTACCCTCCGCCCCGTTCGATGTACTTGCGATAGATCCCGCTACCATCAGGCCCGAAGTCGAGCTTGAAGCCAGCCTTGGTCAACCCATCCAAAATCTCACGATCCACGTCCGCGATAGCCTTGGTCCCGTGAACACTCAGCGCGAAGCCCACGGGTGTCGGTATGCTCTGGGCGACGATGTCCGCGTCTTCCGTTGGGGGTCCGCCCTCCTCGTACATGCCCTTGTGCATGACGAAGATGCCCTTGTTGGCAGTGATGACGTACGACCCGCCGCGCTGTACCATCGTCACACTTCCGGCGCCGTTCTCGTAAAAGTTTTGGCAGATGTCATGGCTCGAGTTGCCGGACCCCACTACGAGGACCTTCTTGGAAGCGAGGTCGGAAACGGTGGAAGCGTCCTGATGCTGACTTCCGTGATATACCGTGCCCTTGAACTCGGACTGGTTCGGGAACGTCGGCGTGATGGGGTCGCCAGCCTGGCCTGTGGCCAGCACGATGTGTCGCGGGTGCAAGGTGCGAGTGCTCCCGTCGCCGCGGCGGAGGGTGACCGTCCAGGTCTTAGACTGGTCGTCATAGGATGATTCGGCGATTTCGGTAGAGGTCCAGACGTTGAGTTCCATCATTGTTGCGTAGGACTCGAGCCAGTCGGCTAGCTTGTCTTTGGGCATGAACATGGGCCAGTTGGATGGGAAGGGGATGAAGGGAAGGTGGCAGTATTGGATCGGATCGTGGGTCATGAGCGTCTTCTAGGTGTTAGATGCCAGACCGACTTGATCTTGGAGATTATCTGGCTTACCCTGTATCGTTTGCGCCAACTGTCGCCAACACGTTCATTGCGGTCAATCATAAGGGTCGACACTCCAAGATGTCGGAGTCGGACGCCAATGTTGATTCCAGCATGACCTATACATGTCGACATCAGTGATGGCCCCAACTCACTGTAGGCTTCAACTTCCACTCACCGGCACCGATGACCAGCACGGCAGGATCTTCATCAAGAAACTCCCTCTCCCTATCCCGCCTCTCCTTCCAATTTCCACCCTTGGGGTCAACCTTTCCCGTCGGCCTGCTGATCCCGGCTTTCTCCTCGACGTTCTTCAGCTCTTGAAGGGTGAAGTTGATCATGTACGCCTTCCAGACATTATCCTCCTCTTCGACCAGTCGCACGACTCCCTTTCCACGACCAACATCGTTCTCAAAATCAAACATGCTGTCCACCCAGTGAACACCCGGGGCGACGGTTCTGAAGGCCGGTGCAAAGGCACCCGTCTGGCGGGGCTCGATGTTCCGTAGACCTGTCTGTCGGAGGTTCTCCTGGAAGTACTCGCTTATCCTGTGAAGGCCCTGAATGGTACGGAAGTCCCAGGAAAGGCTGAGAAAGTCACGAATCCAGGCATCGCTGCGGAAAAGAGAGGGGAATTCGGCGAGGTCGCCATTGGTCAGCAGCTGGTTGAACTTGTCTACCCAGCCTGCGATCACTTCTCGCGCGTACTCGGGCGTCTTGGAGAAGGGCTCCCGGAACGTGGGAAGCTTGATCGAGTGCTGTATCTTGGTCATTTCGGCATACAACTTGATGTAGATCTCCAGGTAATTGTGATGTTGGAGTGAGGGTTGGAGAAGTTGGGGTCAGAAGCGGGGAGCTGCGGCCGGCGCCAGAGTCCAGACTTTAAACCAGCTTCGTACGACATCGGAGTTGTTGGTGTTCCTAGTGAGGGCCGAGTCAACTGAGGGGCTGATCTCAGCTGGATGTCCACAGTGCCTTTTGTTGCTTTTCCTAGAGTTGAGGCTTGACACCACAACGGCTGCGGCCATGCTGGTTGGCCGATGTCGTCGCACATGGGGATGATTGTGACGATCAGATATGCATGTCTGAGTTGGTGTGACCAATCATGCATGGCAGTGCTCTATTTCATGGCGAGGCAAACTGCCCCTCCTCAACAATCTGGATCTTTCACAATCGTGGACAGTGGGATTGGTTGCTCGGTGTGGAGGGCCCCGACTGGCTTCATGCAGGTTGGCGGGCAATGATGGGTCGTGAGGGGTTGGCTTCGGCGGCGTTGACCCGAGTGGGCTCAGCATCCACCCGAGGGTGTTGAAGCCCATAATTCGAGTATGAAAATGGTGATGCACAGTTTGCTTGTCCTACAAATGCCAGGTCTAATCCTTCACTCCCTCGATGAGATTCTTGATGCCCTCGCCATTTGCCGTCTTATCCCAAGCAGCGGTAGCGTTCTCGAAAGGAGTAATGCTCGAGAGCAACGCCTTGGTGTTGATTCGCCCTTGTGCAATGAGAGCAAGGGCCGTCTCGTAGTCTCCAGAGCCATAGCGAAAGCATCCTCTGACTTTGAGCTCCTTCTCAGACAACGCGAGCATAGGAACCTCGGGCCTGGCCTTCCCCAGTCCCGCCTGAACATAACTGCCTCCGCGCTTCAGCAAGTAGATGCCCGTCTGAATCGAAGACTGCGCTCCAGAAGCCTCGATTACAGCATCTACTCCGTCATTCATGTTGAACTTCTTCAAGAGCTGCGAGGCAGTCTCCTCGCTATCTGTCTTGACATCCGCAAGGAACGTCTCGCACTCCACAAACGACCTCGCAAACTCGAGCTTCCTCTCGAGGATATCCACAAGCACAACCCTCTTCGCCCCAAACGCCTTCGACACCGCAGCGGAAAGCAGCCCAATCGTTCCGGACCCGGTCACGACCACGTCCTGCCCATACCTAATCTCCGCCAGGCGAGCAGAGTGAACAGCCACGGCAGTCGGCTCGACCAGCACCGCCTCCTGCAGACTCACCTCCTCGGGGGCCTTGTATACAAAGTCCTCCGGCACAACAAAGTACTTCGTCAGCGCGCCGTGATTGTCCGGCGGGTCTGCGGCGAAGGCCATCCGCGGACAGAGATTGTACACGCCGTCCTTGCAGTTCTTGCAGCGGCGGCAGGGGAAGCCTGGTTCGATGGCGACTTTGTCGCCTACTCTGACGGAAGTGACGCCGGGACCTGCTGAGAAGATTGTTCCCGATGCTTCGTGGCCCATTACGAGGGGGTTTGAGGTGCTAACTTTGCGCATGAAGCCGCCTTCTTGCCAGAAGTGGACCTGAGAATGTGAGTCTTCGGGCGGGTAGGAAGGGAAGGGGAAATTACATCGCTGCCGCAGACGCCCACATATTTGATTTGCACAATCACATCGTGGTCATTTTTGATCTCTGGGACCGGGCGATCTTCGAGTTTGGCTGAGCCTGGACCGTAAAGGAACCAAGATGGGTTCTGCATCCCTGATGTGCCTGACATCGTGCCGAGAATCGTGGGGGAAACGCAACTTTGAGATGAACAATTGATGAACGAAAGGTTCGGGGATACTTTGAGTGCATCTGAGAGACAAATGGTATCAACAGACAATCAAGGTTGCTAAGTCTTCGTTAAACTATGCAGTGAGAGGCTTTCTCCGCACCTGACATCACGGCTTTAGTACAACGAGACATCGGGCGACAGTCGTCCGAGCCCGGCCCCGCTGTCTCCAACGCCGGGAATCCACCGGGAAATCGGAGGCCGTTCTTCTACAGATCTCGCACTCCGACACGCTCCGAAATATGTATCCGGCTTTCCGCACCCATAGCCCAGTAAAATGACGGTTGCGCGAATGCAGCGACAAGTCTTCGAATATTAATCAATTGACCTGTCCATACACAGTCAGCTATGCGATGAGGTCGTGAGTTTCTCACTTCTTCAGATACGTCTCGTCACCCGGGAAAAGTGCAGCAACTTGTAAGTTGAATCTCCTAGACGTCAAGATCAGTGACCAGCCGGCAGTCAACTGCTTGGACAACGTACAGGGCATGAAGGGCGTTGCGATCGTCACAGTCCTTAATGGGATCTGATTTTGGGATAAAATAATGATATGAGTCGAAGTATTCTTGTGTGAATCTTTTCCCTTCGACCGCCAATTCCACAATTCGTGTACGGTTTGTGGGTATCAGTATCATGTGCCATGTGAGTAGTTGATGGAACTTACATTCATTGTACGCTCAGAAACTGGCTGGGTTGTATACGAGACCCTTTCCAGTGTCCCCGTCGATGCTGGCGTTGCCGTACCACAAATATCCATGCACCAGCAAAGTCTTCAAAGTCCAACCCGCGGTCTCCAGCGGACGCAATAGCCTCGGTATCACACGCTCAAAAATTGCATGCAGAAGCTGTTCGAGCTCAGCACGACGCCCAACCTTATCCTCTCGCAAATTCGCCAAGTGGCGCAAGCTTTTGGGGAAGAAGTGTTTCCAGTTATTCGACCAACTTTTGTCCTGGGGGATGTCGCCGTTGTACGTCACGCATTGAGACCCGAAGTCGCCGTGGGAGATCTGCGGGAATGCAACCAAGCCAACTCCTGGAGAAGGTGTCGGGGGCAGGAAGGATTCCACTCAGGTTATGGAGTTCGCAAACTTGGAAGTGCGAGTTGGCATCGATTTCATAGGTGCCGCAAGCAATCGGTCTGGGACAGAACTCCGGGTCGCGGCAGTGTATTGCGGAGGTGGCGGCAAACTCGCCCTAAAGTCCCTCCTTGCCCTGTTCACCGTAAGATACATACGAACTCAAGGATCAGCATGTGCGGTTGTTGAAAAGTCAGTTGGTAATGATACAAAGTATTGCTCCGCGCTCTTGCTTCTGTGACGGCCCGATGGTAAGGCAGAATGTGGTTGCCCATTCTAATTGGAAAAGTTGTCTCATAGAAGTAACGCTGTGGACATAGTTCAAATCTGGAAATGCAATATCATGTCAAGCTCAATATCAAGAAGGGACAGATACTGATCAGTTACAATCTGCAGATCAACAGAATAATCTTTCTCAGGCGGAATATTGGTTTTGAGGGACGTCATCCTTTCAGAAAGCTATGGTCTACTCTCTTACTGTATTCCGTGTCACTAACTTATGCTAAACGACTTAGTTTGAAGATTCGATGTGTTTCATATGGATTTTACATCTAAAAGCATCCTATCTTTTGGCGGTGAGCATTGACGACCAGCTTCTTTATCTCTTGAGCGCAGGTTGGTCTGTTGGTGATGTACCGGGATTAATCCAGAAATATTTGTGAAAGAGCGATCAACGCTTCATAAGGGTTGGCACGTTGGCTTCTATTGTCAGGGATGTTTCTTTACTCTTGTATGTTCCTTCGCTTCAAGCACACACACTGGCGGCTTGTTGAATACCTCCGAATGACCCCGCGCATCCAATTTTGAGGTTCAATCACTTTTACACCATCAAATGACCAGACTGAGGGTCTTGAAGCCCCCAGACAAAATATGTCTTTTCCTCAACTCTTCACTTTGAACGATGGCCATAAGGTTCCCGCAGATGGCTTCGGAACTTTCCAAGGAACGAATGGCAACTTCAAGGTCAAGGATACCGTGGAGCGAGCGCTGATGCTTGGTTACAGGCACATTGATGGGGTCAACGTATACGGTAATGAGAAAAGCATTGGTGAAGACATCAACGAAAGCGGGGTCCCGAGAGAAGAGATATTTGTGACGTATAGGCTATGGGCAATATATGCCGAGTATGCTGTTTCTCGGTCCCCCGATGAGATTATAACGGAATATCTCATTCCTGCCCAAATCTGGCATGAGTCTGCCCACGTTGAGAGAGCACTTGAAACCTCTCTACATGATTTTCAACTAGATTGTGGTAGGGTTCCTTTCTACAGAAGCTGGTTGTTGAATTATTTCTTAGAAAAGTAGTTGAGTTATGTCTAATGCATTGTAGGTCATGAAAACGCCTTCTAGGTTGTTGTTATGGTACCTGGGTAACACATCATAGATGCTCATGCGTACAAAGCCGGCGGAAATAATAGTACCATGAGGCACCCGAGTGGCAATGGAAAAATTGGAGTTTCAATCTGCATATGACTACGGTAGCTTGTTTCTAACACTGAACACAGCCTGTTATTGACTACGAACTTTCTCGACGGTTTTTGGAAATGGAACGTGGCAAAGGATGGAAAAGCTGGTGGACTCGGGCGAAGCTTGATCTATTGGTGAGCCATGTACATGCTCGTGAATATATGTCGAGGACCGAAAGCTGAGATCAAGAAGGGCTTTCCAACTTCAACATCCTCAAGACAAAGCGAACACCTGAAGTTGCTAGAATTGCTCTAGTGGCTAACCAGGATGAGCTTCACCCGTATGTTCACAACGTTTCTCGGCTTTCTTCCCGCGAAAGGTTATTTGCCACAACATGACCTTCTTGATTTCTCACTAAAGCAAGACAGGCATACGGCTAGCCCCAGAGTTGCTTGGCAAGATATGTCGCCCTAACGTGCTACAGGTAAGTGAAGTCTCTAACAATGCGGGATGTCTCCAGACCAGGTAGGTTGACATTGCTACAGAAAAAGGTACGCCAACTGACCAGTCACCAGGTCTGTCTCTCTTGGGCTGTCCAGAGGGGAACTGCTATAGTGCCCAAATCTGTCAGTGAAGCCCACATGACGCAGAAACTGGAGCTGCAACAACTTCCGAAACATCCCTTCAATGTTGTTAACGAGTGTTCTTCTGAACGGGGCCCGCTGCGATTCCTAGACCTGGTCGCCACTTGGGCTTTGACATATTTGATCAGTAAAACGATCAGCCGGTGATGAGCTCTGCACCTTGGGATTAGATGCATGGGATGGAAGTTTTGATGCATCGTTTCTTTCTGGAAGACGATCGTGACCGCCATGCTTGCCGGATAATGATCAACGGGCATGGTTTGTTCTGGTACGGGAATGGGCTTGTGATGCCTAAGCCACAACGTGGGCATTCGGTATTCTAGAAGTCCACGAACAAAGCTTCATTGGAAAAGCGGACTTCTGCTATAGTTTCATGCATGAAAAGTTATGCGGGGAATTCTACGCAACTTGAATTCGTTCTCGCTCTGTTCCAGCAGCGGTCTTCAGTCGCTGGCCTGGCTATGCTCTCTACTGCTTCAGTCAGGACGATGAACCGAATGTTCTGGTATAGAAAATGAAGATCTACAGCTCATTGAGGTTGGCGTTTCTCCATTATATTATAGCCTCTCTATGGAATGAACTTGACGGCTTCAATGTTATCGGGCGGTCAAAGAGAGTCAAAAAGTTCTCTGACAATTTGTCGATTGTCAGCAGATGGTTCCTGGCAGCAAAGTCAATTGCCCCGATGATAACACCGCCATCCTGGTTGCGCGAGGCGCTAGCTGGCCAACTACACGCTCAGGAGCCAATGGCTCACAGTGGCTGCTTACCTGGCTGCCCAATCGAGCAACATGGTGCGCCCCCTGTCACCCTGCCATCCCATCCCACGCGCGGATTTTGGGTTCCAACGGTGGCTGCGCTGGTGTGGGAGGCACCTTTGCTGCGCCGCTTATTCGCGTTGTTGGAACTTCAGATGAAGGATTCAGGGGTACTGGGACTGGCATCGAATGCCCGCCTTCTTCTCTCGTCCCCCCCAAGCCCAAGTAACAAACCCTCGAGAATGAAGAACAATCAATGTTCATCAAACATCGAGACTTCATCCGAGCAAGCCGGTAAAACCACCGAACTAAGACGGGCCCTGGCGCAAATCCGGGCTGGTTCCATGGCGATGTTACCCCAAAACCACCCATGTTCAGGGCACCCCGGCAGCCCCAATGCAAGGTTTAATGAGGGGAACTTGGCCGCCACAAGCAACGGCTCGGGGCGCCTGATTTGATTGCTGGAATGCTTGACAGAAGGAAATCGCATTGAGAGCCGGCTGCTTGGGGTTGATTGCGCCGCTTCCTTATCTTGGAGTGCCATTTCCAGGCAGAAAGAAAGCACACAGAAAAGTAGTCGGGCTGTCTGCTCCATGGACCATGGCTGAGCTCAGCGACGCTGGCTCGGCATCTTAGCTTGATGTGGTGCCCCTGATTAGCATCGATAGTGTGACGTTCAGTCGTTTTCTTCTCCTTCTTCGCTGTTTCGGCCTCGCGAATCGATGGAATAGCTCCTGACGACCTTCATTTCTTGCGACGACATTTGTCATCTGTCGCGTCCGCTCATTTGTTTTGATTTCCCAGGCTCCAGCTCGGTCTGCAGCTTTCTCATGCGACTTTCGGCCTTCGTTGCATTCCCTTGGCCGCGAGAAACCCCATTGCGACCGTAACCCCAAGAACTGACCGCCCATTCGTGCGTGATTCGAAATACGATCGAGCTGCCTGCACCTACCCGAAAGCCGCCCGTCCAAGCCAGTCCACGACGCCATGATCTCCCTCCAGAACCAGTTCCGCCGCTCGCAGGACGACATGGCCGAGATGGATCCCGAGACAAATCAGCTCCTACCCGCGCGGAAGCGGCAGCAACATCGAGTCCGCGTCCAGGGCCGATTGGCCGTCGTCCGCAGCGTTTCCACCGTGAATCTGCGGCCCGCGGCGTCGGTGCTGCCATCCCCGGTCGCCGCGGGCGGGACGACACCCACAACCCCAAGATTCGAGTCAGGCGTGGCAGGGAGCACTGTGCCGCCCGTCAATGTGAGGAGGAGGAGAAGCTTGGATGACGCGAGCAGCGACACCGAGGAGGAGCACGATGTGAAGGAGACTGCGGTGAGGGATCGCCAGTTCAGGGGCTACGGAATCGGTGGCGCTGGAAACATTAGTGGGTTCAACTCTGACTCTGTGCGACATGTAAACACGATGCTGACATGGAGTGTCTTGTTGCAGGACGACCGACCGAAGTCTACGGCGCAACGAAATCCACCTCATCACTATCGAAGCTTTCTACATTCTACTCCTCTGGGTCATCCGATGGCTCCGACAAGAAGTCGTGGAGTTTGCGGGAGATTTTTGGACGCTCAGGGGACCGAAAAGGAAAAGGGGTCGCCGCGCAATGATACGGTACATATGGAGTCATAAACATCGCGCATTTGTTGATCGGCGGACGGCGACTGCAGCATCGGCATAACGGACATTTGGGACGGCTTGGGATTGTTCAACGATCAGGCGTTTCGGGGAATTGTATTGATCAGCGGCGGAGAAAGAAAAACAAAACGGTCAGCGCGCCTTCGCGGCTCGGCAAAGACGCGAATGAGGGTTCCATGCAGCAGCACAAGACATTGCCAAGCACGTTCTACGACATCTGCACTCCAGATTGATAAGCATCAAAATCGCATCGTCCGTTGTGTCTCAAAGTGCATCATCCCGTGCCGCGCGGGACTTGGTGACATCCAATGCCAACAAGCCCGCGCGCGGCCCGGCGCAATTGCTGTCACTTCGAGCCCTGTTCTCCCGCATCGTGACCCCGCTGCCGCTCGGTGCTTCAACATGGGTCTCTGGCGATGATCCGGACTGCTTCAGGTTAAAGACATTTTTCTTCTTCGGCAGGCAATCCACAGCAGCATGTGCTTGCGCTTGGCGATCTGAACGGTACCTGGCAAACCCGGTAAGCTGCGGACAGTCGGCGAGTCCCTTCGCCGTGTTCCAGAACGAAAGTCCCCAATGTCTAGATTATTGTCTAGAATCGATATCATCTCACATTTCTACTCGCCAAGGCATGTCCACCCGGACGTGTCAGCTTACATGCATGCGAAGACGTCTTCAGCCGTGATAGTTCTACCTTGCGAGCCAATCGATCTGTATCTTCCACGACGCGCTCTCGCGAATTTCTGCACTTTTACGAGTAGCCGTACATGGACAAATGTGCAGCCATAGGAAGCGCGCGGGATGTCTCTGATGCGAAGCTTGTCTAGACGCAGCCCGCAAATCAGCACATCAATGCGTATGTGGTGGTCCTCGAAATCAGGAGGAAGAATTCTTGGTGGCATGTCCCAAGAGGTCAAGGCTGCCTCAATGTCCCGTCGGTATCAGTCCGACTTATCGGTAATGCCGATCTTTTGCCTGATTCTCGCTGCCTACGTTGCAACCGAGCAGATCATCCGTTGGACGGAACGCGAATGCCGTGAGGCTAAGGACATCTTGCTGCCTTACATCATTGACGCGGTTGAGACTATTAGCCCAATTCGCAACCGCACTAGGTAAAGCAATTCGCCCATCTTAGAATCGCGCTTATGGCTGAGGCTAAACCTGCAAGGACCCTGATCCTGCGGGCCGTTTTCCCACTCCAATGCCATCATCAAACGCAGAGGCATCGACACTTGGCAGAGGGCCTTGAGTATCCAAACCTACCACTGCCTCTCTTGCCCGCACATGATTAGATCTCCGAGGCCGGGCTTCCACGAATGGCATCACGGAATGTCGAGAATGGGAGTTGTCTGACAACCTCATAGGGCTTTGGAGGGCTGTCAAGCTTTAGAAAGAGCCCAAGCGATTGGACCTTTTGGTCTGCTTTGTGCCTTTTTTGGAATTCCCATTCACCAAGCTTGTAGCTATCCGCCAGACTAAAATCTGTCGTCAGACTTCAGCGACAACGCAACCATACACAGCCATGCGGTCTTTGACGCATGTGGCTCCCCGGCTTAGCGGATGACATCTGGTCGAGTAGCGGGACGTTTGTTCTTCGCGTTGTCGCTTTGAGGCTCCACATCTACAGGTCACTCATATGTCCAACCACTTATATACACCGCCGCAACCCTCCTCGAACGATATCTTGAAGCCCCGGTTTTCACCCCTCATCAGCATTTAGACATCACTTCCAGTCTTTACAACTGAGCAATTTCAAACTACAACATCGAAGAAATAGGCCAACCACCATGACGATACCCGGAGACTCACTGGTCGAGGCCGTCGAGGCCATAGCCATTGACGGTGTCGGTGATGGCAACAAGAAGCGCCCCTACCTCCTCTTCGCCGCGGCCCCTGCCACTGGCCACACCTATCCTCTTCTCCAGATCGCCGCAGAGATGATCCAGAGGGGCTTCGAGGCCACCTTCATCGCCGGCGAAGAATTCAAGCCTCAGCTCAAGCGAATGGGCGCCGAGCACATTCCCATCCCGCCCATGATTACCGAGGAGTTCAACGAAGTCAGGAACAAGGTTCCCGTTGGCATTCCCCGCCTCATCTTTGACCTCAATGAGGTCTTCATCAAGCCTATTCCAGACCTGTTTAGAACCATTATGAACACGCTGGAAAAGATTCGCGAGAGACGTCCGTCTCAGCAGGTCATCATCGTCCATGAGACCTTCTTCATGGGTCTTGCTCCCATGATGTACGGCGCACCCCTCCCGAAGGGCTTCACGACGAGGCCACCGGTAGTCGACATCAACATCGTCCCCATCGTCGTGACAAGCCAGGACACTGCCCCGTTCGGCCCTGGCCTCCCTCCCGACTCGACATACTCTGGCCGCGCTCGAAACAAGCTTCTCAACGAGATGTTCTTCAGCCCCTTTGGTCCCTTTGGCCAGCCAGCTCAGGAGTACACCAAAGTGCTCAAGTCCCTGGGAGCAACCAAGGAGCTTTCTCCCTCGCTCTTCGAGACATGGCAGACAAGCTACGACGTCACGCTTCAGATGTGCTCGCCGAGCCTCGAATACCCCCGTTCAGACCACCCAGAGGTGATCAAGTTCGCCGGCTGCCTGCCTCCCAAGCCCATCGATCCCAACTACAAGTACCCCCAGTGGTGGAGCGACATCACAGCCGGCAACAAGAAGATTGTTGGCGTGGCTCAAGGTACCATCGCAACGGACTACACCGACCTCATCATCCCCACTATCCAGGGTCTGGCGCATCGCGACGATATCATCGTCGTCGCCATTCTCGGTGTCAAGGGCGCCTCGCTGCCGGAGGAACTGCAGATCCCTGCCAACACGAGGGTCGCCGACTTCCTCTCTTACGATGCACTCCTGCAATATGCCGACGTATGGGTACTGAACGCCGGGTACGGTGGCTTCCTGCACGGCATTGTCAACGGCGTGCCGATGGTGCTTGGCGGCGATACTGAGGACAAGCCCGAGATTTCAATGCGTGGCGAGTGGACTGGTGTGGCGCACAACCTCAAGACTGGCAAGCCGACGCCCCAGCAGGTCGCCAAGGGTGTTGAGGATGTGCTGGCGAACGACAAGTACAAGAAGAGGGTGATGGAGATCAAGAAGGAAAACGAGGAGATGAAGTCGCTCGACGTTATCGAAAAGCACATCTGGGAGTATGCGGACTCTGTGTAGACGGCGGGGAAGACGAACTCACTAGGTGATGAGACATGAATAATACCAATATTTGTTTAAGCAATTCCACCCAATTGAAATCTGAATGATGATATCAACTGAGACTAGCGAAAGTCTTGCCGTCTGGCAATGTCTTGAGGAGGTGAAAGAGCAATGCTCTTCATGTGTCTGGAGGGGCTTTTACGTCAGTCCTTCGGGGGGTTCGTCGTCAAAGGGTATTGCATTGAAGTACCGCTGCGAAGGTGCGTTGGCAAGGACTTTAGCAGTGCTCTTCACCTACATGAAGCCTTTTAGGCCCTGTATGCTGATTCTACAGCTCTTCACTGGTATGGTCGGGCTCATCCGGAATCTGTCACTGTGAGTCCTTTCTTCCCCTGGATCCTGGCAGCTGTCATCTCATGTTCCACCCCTCTTCGCCTTTGTGAAGCGAGTCAGGGCCGCCGACTTCAGCGTATGCTCCCCGCAGTACACTGAGCATCTAGGTCTTCTGGGCGGCCTCAAGCCGGTTCAGAACAGCAGTGTTAATGAACAAATGTCTGTCGCCAAGTTGCCAAGCAAACACCACATCAAATTCTCTTCGGGCAAACTTCATGTTGCAGGTCACAGAATTGAGTTCGAATTGTCGAACAAATGAAGGTGGTATTGATATTATGATTACATGATTAACAGTCTTGTGTCTGTAAAAGTAACGTCTTGCTTAATCGGCGCAAGAGAAGCCAGCGTAATTCTGAGCATAAAAACGGGGGGGGGCAGTTTTGGGTGCTTTTCCTCCCCTCCAAACAATTTCATTTCCTCCAACACCATTGAACATAAGAAAAAATGCATAGAGAGAGGTAGTCAAGCCACCTTATTTGGTGACGACATTGACGGTGGCGACGCCGAACAAGCTGAGGTTCAGGCAAGAAACGATGCCCTGTGAGCCCAAGCTGACGTTGAAGCAGTTGGGGTCGACTCTGTTTGCCAGCAAGCCGAGACTCGTGACACAGCTGAGGAGATCCGTGACTGATACCGCCGCGTTCACGTTGCTGGCAAGCCCACTCGCTTGGGCGCCCACGCCGATGTTGAGACAGGTCTGGGGCAAGCTGGTGATACAGCTGCCTTGGATCTTTTGCAGGAAACACTGGCCGTATTGCTGCTGTGGACTGAGTAGGTTGTTGACGGTCGTGAGCAGGTTGCCGACCAGACAGTCGACTGTGCCCAAGGGGTTCGCAAGAGTCGTGCTGAGAACGCCTGGAATAGAGTTGACCACCAGAGCCGCCTGGCAGAGGTTGACCTGTGCTTCGAGACCGTTCGTCAAATTGAACGACGCATCCAGAAGGGCTCCGCAAGCCGTGGGGACTTGTGCGCAAGCTGTTCCGGACGGGCATAGTACCGCCGTGTTTGCTCTGGAGCTGTTGATGGGCAGGCCGGTGCCTTGTTCGATACAGTTGAGGACCGCCAGACCAGAAGTGGCCGCGTTGTTCGTGATGCAGGTTGCCAAGTTGACGGTACTGCCGAAAAGTCCAGAGTACCCAAAAATTCCCAAGTTTGCGATACATACGTTGGCTTGCGCCGTGATGGCAGCGACACCAGTGGCAGCCTCGATCTGAGTACACGAGAGCGGCAGACTTCTGACGCAGCCAATAGCATTCGCAAGACCGGTCCTAATACACTCAGCGTATGTGCCGAGGAGCCTGAGGCCGGATACGGTACAAGCCGCAACCTGAGGGATGGTGGCATAGTTGCCCAACGCGGCTTGACAAGCGTTGAGCTGCGACGTACTAGGAGTGGTGAGGACCCCGCCGAGGAGGGTGTTATCCAAGTTGGAACATTGAGTCGGGATCGGAACGGCGTTGACTTGTGCTTGGCTGATACAGCGTCCAGTAGGGCTTGCGACGGGCGTGGGGATACATCCCGATGGCGAGGACGTCTGCGTAACGACTCGTGTGGCCGTGGGAATGCGAGTCTGCGCGAACACGGTGATGATACTGCCGGTGCCGCTGACGGTGGAGTAACGAGTTCCCGAGAAAGAACCGCCAACTCCAGTCGGGATGGTCGTGTAAACGGTCGAGATGGGAACGGCCGTGGCCGCAATGACGGTTCTAGTCAGTCCAGTGCCCGATTGGGTAATGAGGGAAGTGCCAGTGAAAGCGGCTCCAGTAACTCCAGAAGGAACAGTGACGTATGTCGTCGTTGGTGCGATTGCTGTCTCGGCGAGAACGGTCCTGATGAGACCGGTGCCATCCTGAGTAACGTAGGAGGTGCCGGTGAAGGTAGCTCCAACAACACCCGTAGGAATTGTGACATATGTTGTCGTGGGCAGGGCAGTTTCTGCGATGACCGTCCTGACAAGGCCTGTTCCAGACTGAGTGACCAATGAGGTACCGGTGAAAGTAGCGCCAGGCACTCCAGAGGGTATGGTCACGTAGGACGTCTGAGCCAGGGCAGTCTGGGCGAGAACAGTGACGATAGTTCCGCTGCCAGTAAGGGTGAGGTATGAAGTTCCAGCGAAGACACCTTGAACGCCGGTGAGGACGGTCGTCGTCGTCGTGATAGGCAGGGCTGTCTGTGCCTGAACCGTGATCAGAGTGGCGCCCACGGCGGCTGACTGAGTCACCAGCGAGGTGCCTTGGAAGGTTCCGGGAACTCCAGTTGGGACGGTCACGTAGCTCGTGGTCGGGATAGCCGTCTCCGCGAGAACCGTGATAACGGTAGCTCCCGCGGCAGCAGATTGAGTAATGTACGACGTGCCGGCAAAGTTGCCCGCAACACCAGTTGGGATGGTAGTGAAGCGGGTTGTTGGCAGAGCTGTCTGCGCGAGAACGGTGATAACCGTAGCGCCGGCAGCTGCGGATTGCGTGACCAGAGACGTGCCTTGGAACGTGCCTGTCACACCAGTAGGGATGGTGATGTATCCCGTCGTCCGAATCGCCGTCTGCGCTAGAACCGTGATTATAGTGGCTCCCGCGGCAGCAGATTGAGTAACCAAAGATGTGCCGGCAAAGGTGCCAGTAACACCAGTGGGAACGGTGATATATCCTGTTGTAGGAATAGCAGTCTGAGCGAGTACCGTAATTAACGTGGCACCTGCGGGAGCGGACTGAGTGACCAAGGAGGTGCCCGCGAAGTTGCCAGTGACGCCAGTCGGGATTGTTATGTAACCCGTAGTAGGAATAGCTGTTTGGGCCAACACGGTGATGAGCGTTGCTCCTGCGGCGGCGGACTGCGTGATCAAAGATGTGCCCTGGAAGTTTCCAGGTACACCCGTGGGAATTGTCACGTATCCCGTCGTGGGAATGGCGGTTTGAGCCAAGACAGTAATCAAGGTGGCACCCGCGGCAGCCGACTGCGTGATCAAAGACGTACCCTGGAAGTTACCAGGAACGCCGGTAGGAATGGTCACATAGCCGGTGGTCGGAATGGCTGTTTGGGCCAAGACGGTGATGAGCGTGGCGCCAGGCGCGGCAGACTGAGTGATGAGCGAAGTTCCAGCAAAGTTACCGGGCACGCCGGTAGGAATTGTCACGTAACCAGTCGTTGGGATCGCGGTTTCGGCAATAACAGTTCGGATGAGACCAGTGCCTGACAGAGTGATCAGAGAAGTGCCCTGGAAGTTACCAGCAACTCCTGAAATAACAGTTGTGTACGAGGTCGTTGGCAAGGCCGTCTCCGCGATGACGGTTCTGATGAGACCAGTGCCGTCCAAGGTGATGAGTGAGGTGCCTTGGAAGTTGCCAGGTACGCCCGAAGGGATCGTGACGTAGGATGTGGTTTGCAGCGCGGTTTGCAGAACCACGGTACCAAGGGCCTGCCCGGCGGTCGTGGGGAGAGTAACGGTTGAAGTGCCTGCAAAGTTGCCGATGACTCCGCTAAAGACTGTCGTGAACGAAATCGGGCGAATAGCGGTCTCTAAGAAAACGGTGACGAGGCTCTGGCCAGGTCCAGTTGTGGGAACCGTGGACGTCTGAGTGCCGGCGAAAGTGCCGAGAATACCTGTGATGATTGTCGTGTAAGAGACAATGACCTGGGCAGGGATGGCGGTCTCCAAAACGACAGTTCGGACGTTGGTGCCCGTGCCATCAAGAGTAAGAGTCCTTGTGCCGGTGAAGTCGCTCGTGATTCCACTAGTAACTGTGGTGTATGAGAGCGGCAAGGCGGTTTGAAGAAGGACTGTACCAAGCAGACTTCCGACCGGAGGAATGGTGATTGCCTGGGTTCCGATGAAGGTTCCAGGAATTCCTGTGAGAACAGTCGTGTACGGAATGGCGGTCTGAAGCAGAACAGTTCCGAGGGTTCCCGTGGCCGAAAGCGTAACCGTCTGGGTTCCGGGGAACACAGTTCCGGCAAGGCCAGTGACGATCGTGGTGTACGACGACGGGATTGGCAGAGCGGTCTGGATGAGCACAGTTGCGATGGATCCAGATCCTACGAGTGTAGAAGTCTGAGGTCCCGCAAAGGTGGCGCCCGGAATGCCTGTGAAGACGGTTGTGTACGACGTCGGAATAGGAACCGAGGACTGAACCAAGACTGTTGCCAGGGTGCCGGTAGCAGAGAGAGTAACCGTCTGCGTTCCTGGGAAAGTGGCTCCAGGGACACCCGTGAAGATCGTAGTGTACGATGTAGGGAAGGGAAGGGCCGTCTGGAGGAGTACCGTGGCCAGGGTTCCGGATCCAATTGTCGTTGTCTGGGTGCCGAGGAAGGTAGCACCAAGAATACCCGTAGTCTGCGTGGCATATGATGTCGGCAGGGGGAGAGCAGTTTGAAGCAAGACAGTTCCGAGGGTGCCAGAAACCGGCAAAGTTGTAGTTATGGTTCCAACAAATGTGCCAGGGGCACCAGTGAGAAGCGTGGTGTACGAGGTAGGGAAGGGGAGGGCCGTTTGAAGCACCACGGTGGCAACAGTGTCAGATCCTGGGATCGTTGATACCTGAGTGCCGGTGAAGGTGCCAGGAATGCCGGTGGTAACGGTGACATATGACGTTGGGATAGGCAACGCCGTTTGCAACAGAACCGTACCAAGAGTACCGCTGACAGGGAGCGAAGTAGTGCGAGTGCCAACGAAGGTGCCCAGGACACCGGTGACGATGGTGGTGTATGTGGTCGGGAACGGAATAGCAGTCTGCTGAACCACAGTTGCGATGGTATCGGTACCGGCAATCGTGGAGATTTGAGTGCCAGTAAAAGTGCCGAAGACGCCCGTGAGAATCGTGGTGTACGATGTGGGGATTGGCAAGGCAGTCTCCAGAAGAACGGTGCCCAGGGTGCCGCTGACGGGTAGCGTAGTCACGCGGGTGCCAACGAAAGTGCCAGGAGTTCCGGTGAGAATCGTCGTGTACGAAGTGGGAATCGGAAGTGCGGTCTCTAGAAGAACTGTACCCAGCGTGCCTGAGACTGGCAAAGTCGTTGCCCTGGTACCGATGAAAGTGCCAGGAGCGCCAGTCAAGATTGTCGTGTAGGAAGTTGGAACAGGCAAAGCTGTCTCGAGCAAGACGGTGCCGATGTTTCCAGTAACAGGCAAAGTCGTCGTCTGCGTACCCGCGAATGTCCCGATTACACCAGTGACGAGAGTGACGTATGATGTAGACAAAGGCGGAATAGCCGTTTCCTCAAATACCGTACCCAGCGTTCCGCTGACCGGGCCCGTTGAAGTACGAGTGCCCACAAACGTGTCAGTGACACCGCGAGTAATCGTGGTGTAGCCAGTAACAATAGGCGGGATGGCGGTCTGGAGCAAAACGGTGCCCAAAGTGCCAGTAAGCGGCAGGGTGATGGTCTGAGTACCAGCGAACGTGCCGATGGTGCCAGTCGGGATCGTGGTGTACGAAGTGACTGGCGGCAGAGGCAGCGCGGTCTGGATGAGTACGGTGCCAACCGTTCCTGAGCCTGCCAAGGTAGTTGTCTGGGCGCCGATGAATGTGCCCGGGATTCCGGTAATGAGCGTTGTGTACGACGTCGGCACTGGAAGAGCTGTCTCCAAGAGCACAGTTCCAAGCGTTCCAGTAACTGGAAGAGTCGTTGCTCGTGTGCCGGCAAAGGTGCCGATGACGCCGGTGAGAACCGTGGTATAAGATGTGACTGCGTTAGGGATAGCAGTCTCGGCCAAAACCGTACCAACGGTGCCAGTCACCGGGAGGGTGGTGAACTGGGTTCCAATAAAGGTAGCACCAGGCACTCCGGTGGGAATTGTGACATACGAAATGTCAGCCGAGAGCGCGGTTTGAGCCAAGACAGTACCAATGGCACCAGTGACGGGTAGGGTAGAGAACTGAGTGCCGACGAAGCTTGCGCCGGGCACGCCTGTTGGGACCGTGATGTATGAAATCACCGCGGGCAGTGCACTCTCAATGATAACCGTGCCAATTGTGCCAGTAACTGGAAGCGTAGTAGTGAGAGGACCAACGAAGGTAGCCCCTGGAATTCCGCTGAAGATCGTGGTGAATGAGGTCGTTGGAAGGGCAGGGAGAGCAGTTTGAGCCAACACTGTGCCGATCGTTCCAGTCGCGGGCAAAGTCGAGAACTGCGTGCCGATGAAAGTAGCCCCGGGAATACCAGTGAAAATGGTGGTGAGCGACGTTGTCGGGATGGCAGGGAGAGCGGTCTCTGCGAGAACGGTGCCAATGGAACCGGTGACAGGCAGGGTGCTCAACTGAGTGCCGACGAACGTGGCTCCTGGGATTCCAGTGAAGATCGTCGTGAACGACGTTGCGGGCGCGTTGGGAATGGCTGTCTCGAGGAGTACAGTTCCGAGCGTTCCAATGACGGGCAAGGTGCTCGTCCTGGTGCCGGGGAAAGTGGCGCCAGGGATGCCTGTGAGGATCGTGGTGAACGCAGTTGTGCCAGCGCTGGGGATGGCAGTCTGAAGTACGACAGTGACCAAGCCAGGATTGGTGACCGCGGCAGGAAGGGTCGTTGTTTGAGTTCCATCGAAAGTACCAAAGACACCCGTGATGATCGTGACATAGGACGTGTTGATGACCGTGACAGATGGCAGAGCCGATGAAGTAGCTTCGGGTACAGCAGTCTCAAGAACAACCGTAATCAGACCATCAGTGCCAAGAGCTGGTAAAGTGCGAGTTTGCGTTCCAGCGAATGTGCCAGGGACGCCGCTGAAGATGGTCGTGAATGAAGCCAAAGGAACGGCTGTCTCCAGGATGATTGTGCCCACGTTGCCAGTGCCAGCGATAGGTAGGGTTCGAGTGCTTGTTCCAGCGAAAGTGCCCGGAATGCCCGTGATCTGGGTCACGTAAGATACCACAGGAACGGCAGTCTGGAGCAGAACCGTAGCCAAGTTGCCAGTGCCAACCACAGGTAGAGTAGTCGTCTGAGTTCCGATGAAGGATCCAGGAATACCTGTTACCAGCGTGGTATACTGGAGGCTCGCAGTTGGGCTTGCGGTAGGGATAGCCGTTTGAAGGACGACCGTGCCAAGTCCGTCGATACCAGTGCCAGGAAGAGTGAGCGTCGAAGTTCCCACGAACGTGCCAGGGACACCAGAGAAAATCGTGGTGTAAGACTGAGCCAATACCGTAGGCAAGACAGTCTCCAAAACGACTGTACCAAGACCGTCTGCACCGGTTCCAGAGAGGGTGCGAGTCTGGGTTCCGAGGAAAGTTCCTGGGATGCCTGAGAAGACCGTCGTGTACGAAGCCGCGAGCGCGGTAGGCAGGGCTGTCTGAAGTACGACAGTGCCGAGACCGTTTGTGCCAGTGCCCGGAAGGGTAAGCGTTGAAGTGCCGACAAAGGTGCCCGGAACGCCAGAAAAGATGGTCGTGTAGGACTGAGCGAGTGCCGTTGGCAATGCCGTCTCCAACACAACCGTTCCGAGGCCATCTGCGCCAGTACCAGACAGAGTACGAGTTTGAGTTCCAAGGAACGTACCCGGGATACCGGAGAAAATGGTTGTGAACGATTGAACAGGGACAGAGGGAATGGCAGTCTGTAAGACAACAGTACCCAATCCATCAGTACCAGGGGCCAGAGTGAGAGCCTGTGTGCCGATAAACGTTCCAGGAATGCCAGAGAAGATAGTCGTGTAGGAGATCGGGCTTGTGATGGGCAGCGCAGTCTCCAAGAGAACAGTGCCGAGGCCATCTGCTCCGATACCAGACAAGGTTCGGGTCTGGGTACCAGTAAAGGTCGCCGGGATTCCAGTGACGATTGTGACGTACGACACCGCATTCGATGTGATTGCAGGAATCGCCGTCTCCAAGAAGACGGTACCGGTTCGCTGGGTTCCAGTAGGCTGGGCCGTCGAAGCGCGGGTTCCAGGAAATGTGCCCAGGACGCCAGTAATGACGGTGACGTACGTAATGTCGATGCTTTGAGCGGTAGGCAGAGCAGTCTGGATCAGGACCGTGCCAACAGTGCCGCTGATGATCGGGAGCGTGGTCGTCTGGGTTCCGATGAAAGTGCCGGGGACGCCAGTGAGCAGCGTCGTGTACTCGACCGGGCTAGCGGTGGGAATGGCGGTCTCCAAAAGAACTGTTCCAATCGTGGCTCCAGAAATCAAGGGCAAAGTGTTGGTTTGAGTTCCGGTAAACGTTCCCGGCACACCAGTAAGAATCGTGGTATACTGCAGTCCAGGAGGAGTTGACGTTGCAATCGGCAAAGCAGTTTGCAAGAGAACAGTACCAAGACCATCAGGGCCTGCAGGCAAGGTGGTTGCCAGAGTGCCAATGAAAGTTCCCGGTACACCAGTCAGAATAGTCGTGTAGGAAGCACCAGGGGCACTTGTAGCCGTAGGGAGAGCAGTTTGGAAGATAACTGTGGCGATGCCGTCGCTTCCCACGGGCAGGGTGGTTGCCAATGTGCCGATAAATGTACCTGGCAAGCCCGAGAAGATCGTAGTGTAAGAAACTCCTGGCGACGAGACTGTGGGCGTGGGGATGGCAGTCTGGAAGATGACAGTTGCGATGCCGTCCGTGCCGGCAGGGAGCGTTGTGGCCACGGTGCCCGCGAAGGTACCGGGCACACCCGAGAACAGAGTCGTGTAGGAAACAGGTGCGATAGTGGGCAAGGCAGTCTGAAGCAACACAGTAGCAATGCCGTCAGTGCCGGCGGGCAGAGTAGTTGCTTGAGTGCCGACGAAGGTGCCCGGAATACCTGTAAGCAGTGTCGTGTACGAGACTGGCGAAGCAGTAGGCAGAGCGGTTTGCAACAAGACGGTGGCGATGCCGTCGGTGCCGACCGGCAAGGTGGTGACCTGAGTGCCGGTAAATGTTCCCGGGAGTCCTGTGAGAATCGTAGTGAAGCGAATGCTCTCAGACGGGATTGCAGAAGCAATGATGACAGTTGCGACACCATCAGGTCCGGCGGGGAGTGTGGATGTTTGAGGTCCAATAAACGTGCCAATGATGCCCGAGAAGATGGTCGTGTACGTGACAGTGACACTCGGGGCAGCGGTTGGCAAGGCACTCTCCACAAGGACAGTCTCGATACCATCGAGGCCGACTGGCAGCGTTGTAGTGCGGATCCCAGAGAAGGTTCCAGGAACGGCAGTAAAGATCGTGGTAATCGCGCCAGCGGCAGCCGTAGGCAGGGCGGTCTGGATGAGTACCGTCTCAATGCCGTCAAGACCGGCGGGCAGAGTTGTTGTCAAGGAGCCCAAGAATGTTCCCGGAATACCAGTAAAGATGGTAGTAACTGCGGTCGGGATTGCCGTGGGCAGAGCAGTCTGGATAAGTACCGTCTCGATACCATTTGGACCGACCGGAAGAGTTGTTGTGACGGGTCCAACAAAAGTGCCTGGGATTCCAGTAAACACGGTGGTAAGGCCAGTAGCGGTCGGAATAGCACTCAAAGCAGTTTGGATGAGAACAGTCTCAATGCCGTCAAGACCAACCGGGAGCGTGGTCGTGAGAGGACCCAAGAACGTGCCAGGAATACCCGTAAAGATCGTCGTCAAACCAGTGGCTGTCGGGATAGCGCTAAGAGCAGTCTGAATGAGAACTGTCTCGATTCCATCAGGGCCAGCGGGCAAGGTTGTTGTCACAGAACCGACGAAAGTGCCAGGGATGCCAGTGAAGATCGTCGTCAGGCCAGTTGCGCTTGGGATAGCAGTCAATGCAGTCTGTATCAGAACAGTTTCGATACCATCTGGGCCGGCGGGTAGAGTGGTTGTCAGGGATCCTATGAAGGTTCCTGGGATACCAGTAAATACCGTAGTGACTGCGGTCGGACTGGCGGTCGGAGTGCCTGTAGGGCCTCCCGTTGGAAGAGCTGTTTGGATGAGAACGGTCTCGATACCATCAAGTCCAGCAGGCAGAGTAGTTGTCACAGAACCCAAGAAGGTGCCAGGAACACCCGTGAAGATTGTCGTGGCAGCGGTCGCGCTCGGGATGATTCCTGATAACGCAGTCTGGATGAGAACGGTTTCGATACCATCAGGGCCGGCGGGAAGCGTCGTCGTCAGGGAACCCAAGAATGTTCCAGGAATACCAGTGAAAACGGTCGTGATGGCGGTAGCGGTCGGCGTAATGCCAGGCAAAGCAGTTTGGATCAACACTGTTTCAATGCCATCAAGGCCGGCCGGGAGCGTCGTTGTCAAGCTTCCCACGAAGGTTCCCGGAATGCCGGTGAAGATCGTGGTAAGCCCAGTGGCAGTTGGGACGACGCCCGAAAGGGCAGTCTGAATAAGTACCGTTTCGATACCATCAGGTCCAGCAGGCAGTGTCGTGGTAATAGGACCCACGAAAGTTCCCGGAATACCAGTGAAAATCGTAGTGAGACCAGTGGCGGTAGGAGTGACACCAGGAAGAGCAGTCTGAATGAGTACTGTTTCGATGCCGTCGGGACCAACAGGCAATGTTGTGGTGACAGGGCCCACGAAAGTTCCGGGGATTCCGGTGAAAATCGTCGTAACTGCACCAGGGGTTGCCGTCGGCGTCGCAGATACGCCCTCGGTGAAGGGAACGTACACAACGACCGTGTCTGGAAGAGTTGGATCTCCTTGGATGCTGACACCAATGGTGGTGCTGAAGCGAATCCTGCCAGTGTAAAGAGAAGTGATCGTGACCTGGCTGCGGGTCAGAGTCGGTGTCGTCAGCGGCACCGTGGCAGAAGGTACAAGGCCGGAAGGCACAAGGACGATAACAGTGCCGGTTTCACCAGCCGCAGTAGGGAAGACAGTCGACAAGGCGGGAGCGGTGCCATCGTACGTCGATGTGATAGTGTCGAAGAAGACGCCAGGAGACTGGATGATGACGGTACCTGGAAGGCCACTCGCCGCAGGCGGGATCGTAAGGGTGGTTGGGATAGGACCAGCGGAGAAGATAGTCGTGTATGACAGCGCGGGATCGATTGGCAAGCCCGAGGTGGCGGACGGGACCACCACCACAGTACCAGGAAGACCACTTTGGAGGGGCGGCAGAGTGAATGTCGTGGGAATGGGACCGGCAGAGAAGACGGTTGTGTACGACAACGCCGGATCGATGGGCAGATCGGATGAAGCGGTAGGGACCACAACGACAGTTCCTGGAAGACCACTTGCTGCTGGAGGAAGCGTGTAAGTCGTCGGGATTGGACCGGCAGAGAAGACCGTTGTAAGTGATAAGGCAGGGTCGATCGACAGATCGGATGAAGCTATAGGAACAACGACAACTGTACCAGGGAGACCACTTGATGCGGGAGGGATTGTGTAAGTTGTAGGAATAGGACCCGCAGAGATGACGGTCGTATATTGTACCGCGGGGTCGATGAGCAAGTCCGAGGAAGTTGCTGACGGCACAATGACAACTGTACCAAGAGAGCCGCTGACAGCCGGAGTGATTGTGAACGTAGTCGGAACAGGACCCGCAGAGAAGACAGTGGTGAATTGCAGGGCGGGGTCAACGAGCAAGTCTGACGAGGTTGCTGATGGAACAACAACCACCGTGCCAGGAAGACCGCTGACCGCCGCAGGAAGGGTGTAGGTGGTGGGAACGGGACCAGCGGAGAATACGGTGGTGTACTCGAGAGCCGGGTCGACGAGCAGGTCCGAAGAAGTCGTCGAGGGGACGACCACGACTGTGCCTGGCAACCCACTGGATGCTGGAGCAAGAGTGAAGGTCGTCGGGATGGGGCCAGCAGAGAACACAGTGGTGTATTCGAGAGCGGGGTCGACAAGCAAGTCCGAAGAGGTTGCTAAAGGAACGATCACAACCGTGCCTGGCAGTCCGCTGACTGCAGGTGGTAGAGTGAAGGTTGTCGGGATAGGACCAGCAGAGAATACAGTAGTCAGTGAAAGTGCCGGATCAATGGAAAGGTCCGAAGATACCGTCGGGACCACGATGATAGTACCGAGGTCTCCCGAAATAGCTGGCAAAATCGTTAGAGTCGTAGGGACTGGGCCAGCCGAGAAGACTGTGGTGAATGACAGAGCCGGGTCGACAGCCAGGTCTGAGGATGTGGCCGGGACGATCACAACAGTACCGGTCTCGCCCAGAGAAGCCGGGGGAAGGGTGAAAGTGGTCGGCACGGGGCCAGCTGAGGTGACCGTGATAAAAGCACCAGGACTGGCACCCAAAGTGGGAGTCTCGACGATAACAGTTGCCAGATCACCAAGAACGGATGGCAGGATGGTTCTTGTAGCCAAAGCTGGGCCTCCCGTGGTAAGCGTGGTGTATGAAACTCCAGGGATGCTTGTGGCCGTGGCCTCGGAGACGATAACCGAAACCACTCCATCGGGACCGGTGACGATGTTGGTGGCGGGTAGGACTCCAGTGCCTGGGATGGTGGTGAAGACGGTGGTGGCTGCGGTCGGCGTGATTGTAGGCCCGCCAGAGGTGACAGGGTCGAGGAAGATGACAGACACAATACCATCGGCACCGGTGACCGTTGTGGTCGCGGGCAAGAGACCAGTGCCAGGTGCCGTGGTAAAGACGGTAGTCGGGGCGCCTGGTGCAGCTGTTGTCGGTGTCTGGAAGATGACCGAAACGATGCCATCTGCACCCGTGACGGTCGTGGCCTCGGGAAGTAGACCGGTACCAGGAACGGTGGTAAAGATGGTCGTGGGAAGACCTCCCGAAGTGACTGTGGGTGCCTCGAAAATGACTGAGACCACTCCATCGGTTCCGGTGACTGTGAGTGTTGCTGGGAGAGCACCAGTTCCAGGTATCGTGGTAAAGACCGTGGGGAGCTCGCCCGAGGTCGTGGGAGTCTGGAAGATGATAGAGACAACGCCATCGGCACCAGTGACCGTAGTTGCTGTAGGAAGCAACCCAGTCCCGGGTACCGTGGTGAAGACGGTAGTGGGAATGGCGGTCGCCGAGACAGTGGGAGTCTCAAAAATGACAGACACGGTTCCGTCTGCACCAGTCACGGTGGTGGCCGTCGGAAGAAGGCCAGTTCCCGGAACGGTGGTGAAGACGGTGCCTCCAGAAGGCACGCCAATGGTGGGAGTCTCCAAGATAACAGAAACAATGCCGTCGGCTCCGGTGACTGTTGTTGCGGTCGGGAGAAGCCCAGTGCCCGGAACAGTTGTGAAGATCGTGCCTCCAGGAGAAACCACTGAAGTGGGGGTCTCAAAGATGACCGAAACGATTCCATCGGTACCCGTGACTGTTGTAGCTGTGGGAAGAAGGCCAGTTCCCGGGATGGTAGTAAAGATGGTAGCTCCAGGCGATACGACCGATGTAGGGGTCTCGACAATCACAGACACGATACCATCAGTACCGGTGACCGTGGTAGTAGTCGGAATAAGGCCAGTACCAGGAGCGGTGGTGAAGATGGTGCCTCCGATTGAGCTGACATCAGCAGTCGGCGTCTGAATGATAACAAGACCAATGTCATCAAGACCAGTAGGCAGGATCGTGGTGGTAGACGGAATGAGACCGGAGTATCCACTTGTGATGGTAGAGAAGGCTCCCGGAACATCGACGATGACTGTGGGAGCACCAGTGCCGATTGGTGATACCGTGGTCGTTCCTGCAGAAGTTGCTCCGAAGCGCGTTGAGGTGATCTCGAACAGCGCCTCTGGAACTTGAACAAGCACGGTAGTTGGGTCGCCAATGTTGCTCGGAGTCTGGGTCTGGATCAAAGTGACGGAGCCTGCATAAGGAGTTGTGACGGTGGTGATCGCGCCAATCGTAGGCGTTGACAGTGCTGTGGGGGTCGAGAGAGCTGGGACCTGTACCATGACGGTCTGAATGCCGTCGAGACCGATGGGCATTGTTGACGTCCGCACAGATGACAGGCCTGGGATCGAGGTTGTGACCAACAAGAGTCGCCGAGGAACCGCGATGAGCACCGTGACCGGGTCACTGAGACGAGAGGGCGACAACGTCGTTGTGATGAAAGCAGAACCAGTCATGCTCGGGTCGAACGATGTGACTGTGACTGTTCCGCCTGGGCCGGTAAGTGAAGGTGTGGTGATTGTCGGCGCCGTGATGGGCCCTGCCGCAGTCGGGATCTGGGCGAGGACGGTGCCAGGCAGGCCAGAAGCTGCGGGTGCAATAGTCTGGAACAAAGTGATAGAACCATCATAGCCAGTTGTAACCGTGATGTACGAGATGATGTTCTCGGTAACAGAAGTCGGCAGAGTGGCCGCGGTGCTGGGTACCAGAACGACAGCAGTGGCGAGTCCATCGATGCCGGTGACGGACCCAAGCTGGGTCTGGATGATTGAGCCGTCGTAGCCACTTGTGACGGTGGTGTATGACAAGCCAGGGACACTGGTAGTGGCCGAAGGATCGATGGTAATCGAGGGAGTGGCACCCGGTCCGAGGGAAGGCAAGCCAAGAGAGATTGAAATATCGATGCTGATTCTCGGAACTTGCACAAGAACCGTTGCGAGACCGTCAAGACCAAGGATTGAGCCGATGAGCGTCTGAAGGAACGAGCCATCGTAAGTCTCAGTGACAGTGGTGTACGAGATGCCGGGCACGCTAGTTCCTGAAGTTGCCGGTGCGACTGTGATAGATCCAGTAGGAACCTGCACAATGACGGTAGCAAGGCCGTCTGCTCCAGTCGCTGATCCGATAAGGGTCTGCAGGACCGAGCCGTCGTATCCGCTGGTGATAGTGGTGTAGTCAAGACTAGGCAGAGCAGTGATCGTGGGAGTCTGGACGACGACAGTGACGAGGCCATCAGGACCAGTAACCGAGTCGGTCTGGGTAGCGATAGCCGAGCCTGGGTATCCAGTTGTGATCGTAATAAACAAGGCAGGGTCGCCAGACTCGGTAGCGCTTGCGCTGTTCGACGGGAGAACTGTAAGTGTTCCAGTCGGCTGCAAAACGATAACAGTAGCAAGACCATCTGCGCCGGTGGTGATGCCAGTCTGCGTAAGCAGTAGAGAACCGTCATATCCACTCGTAAGAGTGGTGTACCGAGTCGCACCGGAGAGAACATCGGACGGCACCTGGACAACAACCGTACCCAGCTCAGAAATACCTGTACCAGCCGGGGCGAGAGTGGTGGTCAAGGTGACCGAGCCGGGATAAGCGCTTGTGAGAGTCGTGTACAGAGCGCCAAGAGGATCCGTAGAGGTAGGAACCTGGACAACGACTGTCTGGACCGGAACGCCGCCAACTGTACCAATGGGAAGGCTCGTCGTTTGGGTGAGAAGTCCGTCGTAACCACTGGTGATAGTGGTGAACTGGATTCCGTCGGAGACTGTGGCCGTAGGGACCTGCACAACCACGGTCTGGATGGGAAGGCCTCCAACAGTAGCAACAGGCAAAGTGGATGTCTGCGTAACTGAGCCATCGTAGCCACTTGTAACAGTGGTGAGGAAAACGCCAGGCAGAGCAGTCTGAGTCGGTACCTGAACAATGACAGACCGAATGGTCGATCCATCAATGGTAACCGCGGGCAATGTTGTTGTCAAGGTCACCGAACCGTCATAGCCATTTGTCAAGGTGACGAGAAGATTATCAAGATCAATCGAGTCGGTTGGCGCAATGGTAGGAACCTGGGCGATCACAGTTTGAATCCTCGAACCATCAACGGTGGCAACGGGCAAAGTAGTGAGTTGAGTAATTGAGCCATCGTAGCCACTTGTGACGGTGGTAAGGAAGACTCCGGGATCGACAGTAGCGCTGGGGACTTGTACGACGACTGTTCCGAGATCTCCAGGATTCGCGGGCGCCAAGGTGGTGGTCTGAGGGACCAAACCAGTGTAGCCGCTGGTGACGGTAGTATACGAAGCAGCTAAAGGATCGGAAGTAGCGCTCGCAGGGATTTGAACGATGACAGTTCCAAGGCCAGATGGGTCGGTAACGTCCGGTGCCAGGGTCGTGGTGAGCGGAATGGAGCCGTCGTACGTGCTGAAGATCGTGGTGAAAGACACAGGCAAAACACCGTCTGTTGATGTTGACAGGGCATCCCCCGTAGACGTGGCGAGGATATCCGGAAGCTGGACAATGACAGTGCCGAGACCAGACGGGTCAGTTGCAGCAGGCAGCAAAGTAGTTGTCAAAGTGACTGAGCCAGGGTAGGTGCTGAAAATGGTTGTGAACGACGCGGCAAGAGGATCTGTCGCGGAAGACGCCAAGTCGCCTGGAACCTGTACAATGACTGTTCGGATGCCACTTGGGTCCGCAACGTCAGGCAGAGCCGTAGAAGTGAGAGTGGCGGAGCCAGCGTACGTCGACGTCACGGTGGTGAAAACATCGCCCAAAATGTCTGTCGACGTGGCTTGATCGCCAGGAACTTGCACGATGACGGTCCTAATGCCGGTCGGGTCTGCAATGTCTGGAAGAGCAGTTGTTGTAGGGGTAACGGATCCAGCGTACGTGGATGTAATCGTGGTGAAGATGTTGCCCAAAGCATCAGTACTTGTTGCCGCTTGACCAGGGACCTGCACGATGACTGTTTTAATGCCAGTGGGGTCTGCTGGATCAGGGAGTGCTGTGGATGTAAGAGTAACGGAACCAGCGTAAGTCGAAGTGACTGTCGTAAACAGGTCACCCAATAGACCTGTGCTTGCTGCAGGATCTCCAGGAATCTGAACAATGATGGAGATAATCGGAGTGGGATCGGCAGGATTGGGCAGGGCCGTAGACGTAAGGGTAACCGAACCGGCGTATGTCGATGTTACTGTCGTGAACAGTTCACCCAAGCTGCCAGTGCTCAAAGGAAGCTGAGTGGGCACCTGGACAACAACCGTGCCGAGACCGGCAGGGTCAGTCGCATCGGGCAGCAGAGTCGTGGTCAAGGTGACCGAGCCGTCGTAGCCGCTGGTGACAGTAGTAAAGAGATCGGCCAGCGCGCTGGGAACTTGGACAATGACAGTGCCAATTTCACCGAGACCAGTTCCCGTAGGCAAGGCCGTCGTGGTCTGAATGATGCTGCCATCGTATGTGGTGGTGATGGTAGTGAAGATGGCTGTGACGGACAGAACAGGGGTGCTGACGAGAGAAGCAGGCTGAAGGATGATGACAGTGCCGATATCGCCAGGATTGGCCGGAGCAATCGTTGACGTGGCCACGGCAGACCCATCGTAAGTGCTGATGATCGTCGTGAAATCAGCTGTTGGGGTAGCGATGGGCTCGTAGAAGATGATGGTGCCAACCGTGTCGGTGCCAGAAGGTGCCAACGTCGAAACAAGAGGCTCCAAGCCACTGTAAGTGCTGGTGAGAGTGACATAGGACGAAACTCCAGGGATGGAAACGCTTGCACTAGGTACAAGAACCACAACAGTTCCAATAGTGTCAGTTCCCGCAGGTGCCAAGGTGGAAGTTGTGAGAGACAATCCATCGTATGTGCTGATGACCGTGGTGTACGATGGAAGGTCCGAAGTTGTGCCAAGGAGATCCGGGTCGAAGACGACGACGATTCCGGGATCGCCCGTGACAGTCGGCAAGATTGTTGTAGTCGACGTAACGGATCCAACACCGAGGCTAGTGATGGTTGTGAACGCAAGCGGTTGGGTGGCCGTCGGCTCAAGAATGATAACCGTCCCGTCGGTGTCGGTTCCGGTAGGGAAGATGGTGGTGGCAGACGGCACCAGACCGGTGTATCCACTGGTGATGGTGGCAAAGTTGAAGGTGGGAGTGCTTCCGTCCGTGGCTGTGGGCACCAAAATGATGACTTGGCCAAGTGTCTCGGTGCCAGTAGGCAGGATGGTAGTCGCAGATGGCACAAGGCCGGAGTAGCCACTCGTAAGCGTGACGAACAGAGCCGGGTCGCCACCGGCTCCTGATGAGGCGGGCTCGAGGATGATGATGGTACCTTCATCGTTGTCACCAGTCGGGAAAATCGTGGTGGCGGAGGGAAGAGCACCAGTGTATGCGCTTGTGATGGTCGCAAACGAGATGCTTCTGGTGGGAGCAGAAGGAACGCCAGTAATGCCGGGAACGAAGATGACAGTAGCACCGGGCTCGCCAGAGGGACCCGCTGGCAGCGTGGAGGTGAAAGTAATCGAGCCATCATAAGTGCTTGTGAGCAAGTTTGGCAGGGCGTCGGTGATGCCCGGAACATAGACGACAGTAGACGGAGCCTCGCCATTCGGGCCGGCAGGGAATGTGCTGGTGAGAGTAACTGATCCACCGTAGGTGGTGGTGAGGATATCTCCAAGGGCCGCAGTAGCACTTGGAACCAAAACGACGACTGCAGAAGAGCCAGGTGGCCCAAACGGAACGGTCGTCGTCAAGGTCACAGAGCCAGGGTATGTGCTTGTCAAGACATCCAGTGCGGGAACAGTTGGGCTGGGTACAAGAATAACAGTCGCGCCAGGCAAGCCATCGGTACCGACGGGAAGCGTGGTGGTTGAGATGATCGATCCGTCGTAAGTGCTGGTAAGAAGTCCACCACCTGGGAGGCCAGTGGCAGTCGGCACAAGAACGACGGTCTGCACAGGATCGCCCGAGGCATCCAAGATGGTTGAGGTCAACGTCACGGAACCATCGTAACCGCTTGTCAACACTCCAGGATCCGGAAGAGCGGAAGACCCCGGCACGAAGATCGCCGTTTGAATAGGGTTCCCAGATGGGTCCAAAATCGTCGATGTCAATGTCACGGAGCCATCGTACGTGCTGGTAGGAAGACCGTTGTTCGCTAAGCTCGTGAGGCCTGGTACAAATACTGCAGTCTCAACAGGGTTTCCTGACGCATCCAGGATGGTTGAGGTCAATGTGACGGAGCCATCATAGGTGCTAGTAGGAAGATTCAGGCTGGGCAGTGCAGTCGATCCGGGAACAAAGATTGCCGTCAAGATAGGGTTACCAGAAGGATCCAGGATAGTGGAGGTCAAAGTAACAGATCCATCGTAGGTGCTAGTGGGAAGCACGTTGGGCAATCCAGTGACTGTCGGGATGAAAACCGCGGTCTGGATCGGGTTGCCAGATGCGTCCAAGATGGTAGAAGTAAGGGTAACAGATCCATCATAGAAACTTGTTGGGAGCACGTCGGGCAGACCCGTGATCGTCGGAACAAATACGGCGGTCTGGATTGGGTTGCCTGAAGGATCCAAGATGGTCGACGTCAAGGTCACAGATCCGTCGTAGAAGCTGGTCGGAAGAACGTTAGGCAAGCCAGTGATAGACGGCACGAAGACCGCAGTTTCAACTGGGTTTCCAGACGCGTCAAGAATTGTGGAAGTCAGAGTCACCGAGCCATCGTAGAAGCTGGTTGGTAGGGCGCCTGGAAGGCCAGTGTTGCTTGGAACAAACACAGCAGTCTGGATTGGGTTTCCGGACGCGTCCAAAATAGTAGACGTCAACGTCACCGATCCATCGTAAAGGCTAGTCGGCAATGCGCCAGGTGCACTAGGCAATCCGGTGATACTTGGAACGAAGACGGCTGTTTGAATCGGATTACCCGATGCGTCAAGAATGGTCGATGTAAGTGTGATAGATCCACCGTAAAGACTCGTAGGCAGGACATCAGGGAGGCCAGTAACGCTGGGCACGAACACAGCCGTTTGAACAGGGTTTCCGGAAGCATCAAGAATGGTTGATGTAAGCGTAACGGACCCATCATATAGACTTGTTGGCAAGACGTTAGGGAGACCAGTAAAGCTTGGTACAAACACAGCCGTTTCAACTGGGTTACCCGAAGCATCGAGGATGGTTGACGTGACGGTGATCGACCCATCATAAAGACTGGTTGGTAGGGCACCAGGAAGGCCGGTAACGCTCGGCACACCGCTCGGCACGAAGATCGCGGTTTGGACCGGGTTACCCGAGGTATCCAGTATAGTTGATGTGACCGTAATTGACCCGTCGTAAAGGCTCGTGGGCAAAGCGGCAGGAAGACTGGTAATGCTGGGAACGAAGACTGCAGTTTGAACAGGGTTGCCAGAAGCATCAAGGATTGTCGAAGTAACAGTGACAGACCCATCATAGAGACTTGTTGGTAATTGAGGCAGACCAGTGATGCTGGGAACGAAGACGGCCGTCTCAACTGGGTTTCCGGAGGCGTCCAAGATGGTTGATGTCAATGTGATCGAACCATCGTAGAGGCTGGTCGGCAATTGAGGAACACCTGTGATGCTTGGGACGAACACAGCGGTCTCGACGGGATTTCCGGAAGGATCCAGAATCGTCGACGTCAAGGTTACAGATCCATCATAGAAGCTTGTGGGCAACGCGGGCAAGGCAGTTGAGCCTGGGACGAAGATTGCAGTAAGGACAGGGCTGCCAGAAGAGTCCAGGATTGTCGAGGTTACGGTGACAGAGCCGTCGTAAGTGCTTGTCGGCAAAGCAGAAACACCAATGGGCAATCCAGTCGAGCTTGGGACGAGAACCAAGGTCTCAATTGGATCACCTGCGCTGTTGAGAATTGTCGAGGTGATCTCAACTGAGCCATCGTAAGTGCTCGTAAGGATATTAGGGAGCGCCGGTGTAGCCGTAATGCCGGGAACAAGAACAATAGTGGCACCAGGAAGGCCGTCCGTTCCAACCGGAAGTGTCGTGGTTGAAATGACTGATCCATCATAGGTGCTTGTGAAGAGACCGCCAGCTGACACAACGGTTGTTGGGCGAGGGATGAAGATGATTGTCGCCCCAGGGTCGCCAGCAGTTCCGGCAGGAAGGATGGAAGTGAAAGTACTCTGTCCATCGTAGAGACTGGTGAAAACATTCGGGAGTGCCGGAGCACCCGTGATGCTAGGTACCAGGACAACGGTGGCACCAGGCAGACCATCTGTTCCAACCGGGAGTGTAGTTGTCGAGATGACTGAGCCTCCGTAAGTACTTGTGAGCAAGCCGCTGGCTGGCAAAGTTGGATCGACACTGGGCACGAGAATGACTGTTTGATCTGGCAGGCCTGAAACACCTGGAATGATAGAGGTAAGGGTGACGGAGCCGTCGTAGGTGCTGGTGATAAGACCACCCAGCGTAGGGGTCGCGCTCGGCACCAGGATAATCGTTTCGTCAGGCAACCCGGTGACTCCAGGGATGACAGAAGTGAGCGTGATAGAGCCATCGTAAGTGCTGGTAAGAAGACCACCAGCTGGCAGACTTGGCGCAGCACTAGGTACGAGGACGATCGTCTCATCGGGCAACCCAGTGATACCAGGGATAACGGATGTGACAGTGATAGATCCATCATAAGTGCTTGTGAGAATGTTTGGCAACGCCAGCGAATCGGTCAGATCAGGAACCAACACAATAGTCTCATCTGGCGCGCCCGAGGCACCTGGAATGACGGATGTGACGGTGACAGAACCGCCATAAGTACTGGTAAGGAGATTGGGCAATGATGGAGCAGCGGTAATGCCAGGGACGAACACAATGGTGTCGTCCGGCAGGCCCGAAACACCCGGAACCGTGGATGTGAATATGATGGAGCCGTCATAGGTGCTTGTGAAAAGATTGGGCAAAGCCGGCGCGCCGGTGACACTGGGGATGAGGACAAGGGTTTGGTCTGGTAAGCCAGAAACCCCTGGGATCGTCGTTGTGAGTGTGACCGATCCGTCGTATAGGCTCGTCGCCAATCCGCCAACTGCACTTGTAGGGAGCGCAGGGTCGGTGATTGAAGGCACCAGGACAACAGTCTGGCCTGGTAGGCCAGAGACTCCAGGGATAGTAGTCGTAAGGGTAATCGACCCATCGTACAGGCTAGTGACTAGCCCGCCGATGGCACTTGTCGGGACAGCCGGAGCTGTGATCGAAGGCACCAAGACGACGGTTTGATCTGGCAAGCCAGATACGCCAGGGAGAGTGGTCGTAAGCGTAATCGACCCATCGTACAAGCTGGTAAGCACTGCTCCGAGGGCAGGGTCCGTAATCGATGGCACAAGCACAAGAGTCTCATCTGGGAATCCAGAAGCGCCCGGAATGGTGGTAGTCAAAGTGATTGAACCGTCATAGAAACTCGTGACCAAGCCTCCAGCAACGCTGGTAGGGACGGCTGGAGCCGTAAGAGACGGTAGGAAAATGATTGTATCGTCTGGCAGGCCGGAGACGCCAGGAATGGTTGAGGTAAAGGTGATTGAGCCGTCGTAGAGGCTCGTGGCCAAGCCTCCCGCACCAGTACCAATACTCGTGGGATCCACGGGGCCGGTAATACTGGGCAGGAAGACTACCGTGTCATCGGGCAAACCAGATACGCCAGGGACAGTAGATGTGAAGGTAATCGAGCCATCATAAAGACTTGTCACCAAGCCGCCAGGCGTAGCTGAGGGCACTGCTGGAGCCGTAATGCTAGGAACAAAGATAATGGTCGCTCCAGGCAGTCCAGATACTTCGGGCAGAGTCGACGTGAAAGTAATGGAGCCACCGTATGTGCTTGTGTACAAGCCCGCCTCGAGAGCGGTAGGCGCAGATGTGGGAAGACCGCCCAAGTTAGAGCTGGGAAGAGCTCCAGCGCTTGGGATGTAAACAATGGTATCATCAGGCAGGCCGGATGCGCCTGGGATTGTGGACGTAAAGGTGACGGAGCCATCATAAAAACTGGTGATTGGACCTGTGGGGGCTGCTGTTGGCAGGCCTGTGATGGTAGGGACGAACACAATAGTCTCATCTGGCTGACCAGAGACACCAGGAATCGTTGATGTCAAAGTGACAGAACCATCGTAGAAGCTCGTCACCAAGCCCTGGCCCAAGGCTGTCGGAAGCGATGTAGGCAGACCTGGGGCACTTGGAATGAACACGACGGTTTCATCGGGCAGACCCGACACACCAGGGAGGGTTGATGTGAAAGTGACGGATCCATCGTACAAGCTTGTAATGATTCCCGGAGCTGAGGCGGTTGGTGCCGCAGTGGGGAGTCCCGTTACGCTTGGGATGTAGACGATTGTTTCGTCGGGCAGGCCAGAAACGCCAGGAAGAGTCGAGGTGAAAGTAACTGAACCATCGTACAAGCTGGTCACGAGCCCTTGGCCCAAAGCCGTCGGTGTGGCTGTGAGAACACCTGGAAGGCTAGGAACGAATATGATGGTCGCGCCAGGCAATCCAATGGTGTAAGGAGGAATCGTCAACGCGAACGTGATAGATCCATCGTAAGTGCTTGTGTATACTCCAGGAGCCAGAGTTGTGCCCGGTAGAGATGGCTCGGGCGTAACGCCGGGGACAAGAACGAGGGTCTGATCAGGTAATCCCGACACGCCAGGAATCGTGGTGGTAAGGGTGACCGAACCACCATAGAAACTGGTGGCCAGCGCAGGCAAGCCTCCAGCGCCGCCAGTGGCAGCTGGATCAACCGTGATGCTTGGCACCAAGACAAGAGTCTGGTCAGGAAGACCAGACGCGCCAGGGATTGTGGTCGTGAGAGTGACCGACCCGTCGTAAAAGCTGGTAGACAATCCCGGGATGCTTGCCGTGGGTGTAACACTCGGAATGAGGACGACTGTCTCTGGAAGACCGGAAACTCCAGGTATCGTGGTAGTCAGTGTGACTGAACCGTCATAGAAACTAGTAATGAGAGCAGGCAATTCGCTGGCTCCGTCGTCAGGGAGACTGGCAGTCGGCGTGACGCTCGGAATGAGGACAAGAGTTTCATCAGGAAGACCCGTCACCCCAGGGATGATAGTGGTGAGAGTGACCGAGCCATCGTAGAAACTGGTCACCAAGCCTGAAACTCCGCCAGCTCCACCACCTGGAAGGCTCACCGTCGGCGTGATGCTTGGGATAAGGATCACAGTTTGGTCTGGGAGACCCGAGACTCCAGGCAGCGTAGTTGTAAGAGTGATGGAGCCGTCGTAAAGACTGGTGATGAGATTAGGCAAGACACTAGCACCATTATCTGGCAAAGTCGCCGTAGGCGTGATGCTGGGAATGAGAACCAGGGTCTCGTCAGGAGCTCCTGAAACCCCAGGAATGGTAGTCGTGAGGGTGATGGAACCATCGTAGAGGCTAGTGATAAGTCCTGGCAGACCACCAGCACCACCGCCCGGCAGGGTCGCCGTGGGAGTAATGCTGGGAACAAGGACCAGAGTCTGGTCTGGTAGGCCTGATACCCCCGGAACAGTTGTGGTCAGAGTCACCGATCCATCATAAAGGCTTGTTGAGAGTGCGGGAAGTCCAGCACCGCCACCAGAACCACCGCTGGTGGCCTCCGGGACGCTGACTGTGGGGGTCGCGCTCGGAATCAGCACAATGACCGTAGCCGGGTCGTTGATGTTGGCGGGAAGAACAGTCGTTGTCGCAGGTACCAAGCCGGTGTAAGTCGAAAGCACCGTTGTAAAGGCACCCGTGTCTGAAACCACGCTCGTCGGGATGTAGACAATAACAGTGCCTGGGTCGCCCGGGTTGGCGGGTGAAGCAATGGCAGTCGATATGACAGATCCGGGGTAAGCGGAAGTGACCGTGGTCAAGGCAGGGCCAGGCGTGGTTGTCGGCGAAGCCAAGACATCGCTTGGAACGTAGACAATGACAGTTCCGGTGGGATCAGAGCCGGAAGGCAACTGAGTCTCGATAGAGGTGATGGAACCTCCATAGGTAGACGTAATAGTCTCGAACAATGCTCCAGGTGAGCCAGTCGCACCAGGAGAGGCAGCGCTGCTCGGAACAAGGACGACAAGAGTGCCCTGGGAATTGGTTCCCGTGGGCACAATCGTTGACGTTGAAAGAATGGAGCCTGCGTACGTGCTCGTAAGAGTCGCGAAGACTGGATCCCCTCCAGATGCATCAGGGCTTGCCGTGGAGCTTGGCACCAAGACCACGAGAGTACCCACGGTGTCAGTGCCGCTAGGAGCGAGCGTGAATGTGGTGGGCACCGATCCTGAGTAGGTGCTAGTAAGAGTAGCAAATTCCACGCTCGGAGATGCGGCGGGAGTGACAGATGCGCCAACAGAAGGATCGAGAGCGGACGTAGGGGCGGCAGTGGGTTCAGGAGTGTAAATAATGACCATGCCAATGACCTCGCTTGCACTTGTCGTAGGGCTAGTGGTCGTAGACAGGCCACTTGCAGTCCAGCCAATAGTTGTTGTGATGAATCTGGCAAATCGAGGAGCAAAGACAATGACACTGCCCACAGCCTGCGTGCCAGTAGGGAACGTGGTTTCCGTGGATGTACCCGTTGAATCCCATAGCGTAGTCGTCGTGATGAAGCTGATTCCAGGGGTAGCAGTAACATCAGGGGCCGTGGGAGTAACTCCAGGTGCGGTAGCGGTATCGCCGCCGGCAGCCGTGGGAGTCTGGATAAGAACCAGGCCAACAGTTTCGGTTCCCGTAGGCAGAATTGTGGTGGTTTGAGTTGCCACTCCCGAGTACCCGGTGGACACCGTAATGTAGGAGATGGCAGGGTCGGCGGTCGGCGCGGGAGTAGATGTAGGGACCTGAATGATGACAGCGCCAACGGTATCGGTTCCAGACGGCAGCAGCGTGGTCGTAGTGGGAACCAAGCCAGTGTATCCTACAGTGGTGGTGAAGAATGAAGCCGGAAGAGGTGTCTGGATGACGACGGTGCCTGGGTCTCCTGGGTTTGCGGGAGCGAGAGTCGTCGTCGCAATACCGGAACCGAAGTACCCGCTTGAAACAGTGACGTACGAAGCAATCGGGTCCTGCACAATGACCGTCGCGATGCCATTGGGGTCCGTGGCAGCCGGGGGGATAGTGATGGTGGTCGGCACTGATCCCGTGAAGGGGAGAGTTTGCGTGGTGAAGCCAGTGGCAGTGATGGTGTTGCTCTGTCCAGACGGTAAGGGAGTCTGGATGAGGACAGTTCCGATCGGGTTGCCGCTGCTAGGGAACAAGGTCAAGGTGGCAATTGTAGGACCAGGGTATCCGATGGTTAAAGTAATGAAGACAATTGGCTCCACGGTGACTGTAGGAGATGGCGTGACACCAGCAGCGTCGCTAGGTGTGAGTACGACCAATGTTGTCGGGTCTCCGACGTTTGAAGGAGTCAAGGTCAGAGTTGACGTGACAGATCCAGCGTAGCCGCTGCTCAAAAAGACGGGCTCGATGGGACCGCCACCGGCACCGCTGCCTCCGGTCTGACTGGCAACAGCAGTTGGAGTCTGGATCAGGACGGTTCCAATAGACTGAGTGCCAGTCGGGAGGATGGTAACCGTTGTCGGTACAGAGCCGGTATACCCAGTGGTGGCTACGACAAATCCACTTGGGATGATCTGAGGCTCGCCTGCAGGTGTCTGGATGAGAATAGTGCCGGGGTTGGTTCCCGACGGCTGAATAGTGACGGTGGTTGGGACAGATCCAGTATAGCCGGTCGTTGCGACCACGAAGCCGGTTGGGACTTGAGCAGGGTCGACGATGATAGTTGGGGTCTGGACAATAACAGAGCCTGGGTTGGTTCCTGAGGGCTCGACGGTCACCGTTGTCGGCACAAGACCAGTGTAACCAGTCGTTGTGAGGACGAATCCTGAGGGAACCGAGGCTGGCAGAACAGTCGGGGTCTGGACAATGACAGAGCCTGGGTTTGTGCCAGAGGGCTGGATGGTGATGGTGGTCGGAACCAAACCGGTATATCCGGTTGTAGTAAGGATGAATCCAGTCGGAACGAGCGTCGTGGGTTCGACGGTAGGTGTCTGGACCAAGACGGTTCCTGGGTTTGTACCAGAGGGCTGAATAGTGACAGTAGTCGGAACTGAACCAGTGTATCCAGCAGTGGTGAGAACAAATCCAGTCGGAACCAAAGTCGCGGGGTCGACCGTAGGTGTTTGGACCAAGACGGTGCCGGGGTTGGTGCCCGACGGCTGGATCGTGATAGTCGTGGGAACCAAGCCGGTGTAGCCAGCGGTAGTGAGAACAAAACCAGTGGGAACAACCGGAGGCGAGGTTGCAACAGCACCAGCAGTAGGAGTCTGGATCAAGATGGTGCCAACAGAAGCAGTGCCAGTAGGCAAGATCGTAGAGATGGCAGTCACGGATCCAGTATATCCAGTGAAGAACGTGACAAACTCGGCCGGTTGAACGGAGGGAGATGCGAAAGGACCAGTGGTAGGAGTCTGGACGACAACAATACCAGCAGTCTGAGCACCAGTGGCGGAGAATGTGATGGTGGTCGGCACGGAACCAGAGAATCCAGCCGTGATGGTCGTGAGAGCTTGAGTAAGAGCAGGGTCAGGAGTAACACCAACAGTTGGGACACCACCTGCGCCGCCGCCACCGCCTCCTCCTCCGCCTTGAGTAGGTGTCTGGATAAGAACAGTTCCAACCGAGTTGGTGCCTGCGGGCAGAATGGTGGTCGTCAGAGGGACAGTTCCAGTGTAACCCGTCGCGAGGGTGACGAAGGACTGAGGCTGGTTGGGTCCTGGAGAGCCGGTAAGTGACACTGGAGTCTGAACGATGACAGAGCCGGGATTGGTTCCGCTCGGCAAGATCGTAGTCGTCGTCGGCGACAGCAAGCCGGGAATACCGACAGTTGAGGTGGCGATGATGTCAATCAGAGGATCACCCGGGTCCGACGCGGCCGGGTCTGCTGGCGTGGTGACTTGAACTCCACCTCCAGGGAAGATGGGGGTCTGAACAACCACGGTACCAACTGTGTTGGTTCCAGTAGGCTGGAGCGTAATTGTAGTCGGGACAGATCCGGTAAAGCCCTGGGTGATGCTCGTGAAGATCTGAGCTGGGACAGCCGGGGTGGATTGTAAGGGATTGACGAAAGGAGTTTCAACAACCACGATACCAGAGCCACCCAAAGAGGGCTGCACGGTGATGGTGCTGGGTGCTGTACCAGTGAAACCAACGGTCGTGGTGTCGAGGACGTTCACCAGAGGAGTCTGAACCAAGACGACGCCGAGGGTGTTGGTTCCCGTCGGCGGCAGAGTCGTGGTGGTGGGCGTTGAGCCGGTGTACCCCTGGAAGAGGGTCGTGAAGACACCAACGCCAGGAACAGCAGTCGGCGCGACAGTCGGTGTCTGAATGACAACAAGACCCGGGTTGGTACCCGTGGGAAGGAAGACTACGGTGTTTGGGTCTGACCCGGCCTGAGTCAGGGTGAGGAAAGATCCCAAGTTAAGACCAGTAGGCAGAGCAATGGGGCCGCCAATGGTGATTCCGGGGATGACGATGGTCTGACCTCCGATGGTGATGCCAGGGAGCAGAGGGCCACCCGGCGTCGGGACAACGCCTGCGGTGGGAGCCGTTACTTGCGCAGCTGGCGTGAACTGGGCAGACGGCACCTGAACCAAAACAGTTCCAACGCTGCCAGTGCCAGTGGGAAGCAAGATGTTGGTCTCGGGAGTCTCTCCGGCAAAGGGAGTTGTCACAGTCACGAATGGCACACCGGCGGGCAGGCTGATACCTGAAGCGGGTGGCGTAAACTGGGCAGCTGGGACTTCAACGAGAACAGTTCCTGTGGGGTTAGTACCAGATGGGAGCAATACATTGGTCTGAGGAGTCTCTCCTGCGAAGGGGCTCGTGACCGTCACGAAAGGTACACCGGCGGGCAGTGAGGGACCGGCACCGGCTGCGTTAGTAGGGGTCAAGACGACAACTGTACCAATGCTGTTTGGGGCAACAGGGGGGACGGTGAAGGTGGTGGGAGTTGCGCCGCTGAATCCGGACTGGATGGTCGTGAACGCCCCCGGTAGGAAAGGTTCAGCAAGAACAGTGTCTTGGCCTGCTCCGGGAGTTGCTACACCTCCGGGAGTCGCAGCACCACCAGGAGTAACATCGGGAGCGACACCAGGAGTCACACCGGGAACGACTCCGGGAGTAACACCAGGAACGACGCCGGGAGTGACGCCGGGAACAACACCAGGAGTAACACCGGGGGCGACACCGGCCGTTTGAGCAGGTTGAAGGACAACGACAGTGCCAGGATCAACGGAGTTCGCTGGAGGAATGGTAACAGTCAGGGGGCTGTTACCGTTGATCACTCCGGAAACCGTGGTCAACTGAGCCGGATTGACTACAGGAGTTGCTGCTGCTGCACCAGATGGCAGCGGCGTCAGCACAAGAACAGTAGGAGCAGTGGGAACTGCTGCTCCTGGCTGAATGGTACCCGGCTGCAGAGTGACGGTCGTCGCGACAGTAACCGATGCTCCTTGAGTAATGGTTGTCGGCTGCTGAAGAATGTTGGTGGCAACCAAGTCGTTGGAAAAGGGGGTGAGAACCACGATTTGGCTGGCCGTCTGAGCTCCGGAAGGCGGCAATGTGACTGTAGTAGGCACAGAGCCGCTGTATCCGCTGGTAATAGCAGCAGGAAGAACCTGGTTGGGAATTGGGTTGACTGAAGGTCCTGCTGTTGGCACAGGGGCGTTGGGTTGACCGGCGGTGTTGACACCGGTCGCAGCCGGGGCAGCCGGGGCTGTAGGGTTCGCCTGGTTGTTTGTAGAGAAGCCAACGGGCAACTGCTCAACAACAGTCGCAAGCGAGTTATCACCAGCCGGGGCCAAGGTCAAGGTCTGGGGCGTAGTGCCGTTGAAGGCACCGCGAATCGTGACAATGGATGCAGCCAGAGCAGCCGGCGCGGTCGTGGCCGGATCATCACCTCCCAAACCTGCTGCGATGATGACTGTTGCAGGGCCAGTGGCAGAAGAACCGCCCAATGGCAGAGTGATGGTGGCTCCGAGACCAGCAATGGCGAGCGCGTTTCTTGTGATGAAGTTGACGGGGCTCGCAGCCAGAGGAGTCTGCACAATGACGGTACCCAGCGAGGGGCTCGTCGAAGGCAAAATGGTCAGAGAAAGAGGCACGGATCCGGAGACGCCTCCTGAGGTGATGGTCGTGAAGGGGCCAGTGAAGGCAATCTGCGCTGGCTGAACGACAACAGTGCCAGTTTGGTCGGTTCCTTGAGGAGGAACCGTAAATGTCACTGCATTAGAACCGGTGTTTCCACCGGCCGTAATGGTCCTGAGCGGTCCGGCAAAAATGCCTGCGGAACCTGCGAGAGGAGTCTGAACAACCACGGCACCAACGCTTCCGGTTCCAGTAGGAACAATTGTGAACGTGCTGGTTCCCTCGATCCCTTGAGCACCTACTGTGGTCGTGAGAAGTCGCTCCAGGAAGTTTGCCTCGCCTCCAGGGGTCTGGATGATCTGCAAGACATCACCGCTGGCTCCAGAGACCGCCGCCGCAGCTCGGCTTCCGGCCAGGGTGATGGCTGAAGGCGAGACTCCAGCGTTTCCGAGAACGGTAATGACATTGTCGGGACCAGTCACGGTGACCGAGAATCTGTCAAAGGTCTGCGCGAAGACTGTGCCCTCGGTTCCAGAGGTAACAGTCAGGTTCCGAGGCACCCCATCGGCACCACCAACGTTGACGGTGGTGTAGAACGCAGCAGGCAAAGCACCTCCAGTGGGCAGAAGCGTCACTGGGACTGAAGCCGGGCTGGCCGGGGTCGCGCCGGGGTCGTTTGTTACCGGCGGGACAGAGTTACCCAAGCTGTTCAGAGCTTCGGTCAGAAGACGACTGGCATCCTCGGGAGAGCCGACGATTGTTGCCGCAGGGCTTCCGACCGTGGGTGTTGGCAGAATACCAGCTCCGGTTGTCGCGTCGGTGAGCGCAAAGGGGGTGAAGACGAGGTAAGTGCCAACGCCATCCGGGCCAGAGGGAAGCACGGTGATGGTGCTTGCCTCTGTTCCCGACTGGCCACCTCTTGTGATCGTGACGTATGCGTTGGGGAGAGATGAGATTCCCTCAATGATTCTGGCGCGGCAAGTTAGTGTCGTGTTAGTGTCCAGGTTGAAGAAGATGAACTTACCTGGTCACTTCGGAGGTCAGAGTGCCCAGCTTGTCGATTTCGGTGATGAGCGTCAACGGCGCGTTGGTGACTGTCAGTGTAAGTCCGTCGTCGAGGATCAAGACTGTGTTGGCCGGTAGGAACGCGCTGATGTAGATCGGGCGGCGCACGATGAACTGTACGGGCTGGACTTCGACGGAAGTGATGCCAGCTGTGCACATGGGGTTGTCGGGGAATTGAGGCAGTCCTGACGCAAGCCAGTACTGCCCAGCGGAGGCCAACAGGCCCAAGGTTTTGAAGAGCTTCATGCTGAAAGATTACTATTAATAATGCGTGATATCCAGCACGACGACAGAGTCTCGAGACCGTCCAAGACACCAGGTCTGGAAGCCGTGCGGGAGCAGGCTTCTTCTCTTGCTTCGACTCGCGTCCTGGGTATTATTGATTAGGTCGATGATACTATTCGGAAGTTGAGACTTCAGGTCGTATGATGAAAGGCCTGATCGTTACTGAACAGGCACTGGCATCTCGCGAACAGAAGACGGGAGGCGCCGTTTGTTCCAACGGGGAGAGGGGGGGATTGGCGAACGACAAGAGTATGAACGCCCGTGAAACAAATAGGTATTAAGGTTAGGGGTAGTATTGACGACACTTCGATTGTTTTAACGAAAAGATGAAAGATGCCTTGTGTCCGTTGCCGTGAGACTGCGGCGTGCCTGGCGAGCGGAATGGGCTTGGTGGGTGAGGAATGTCGCTCCTTTGCGGAAACCGGAGGACCTGTGTTCAGCCCGGGTTGCGTGCCAAGTTGTCACAATGTCTCTCTGTGACAGCAAGATTTTGCCTTGGACTACAAGAAGAGCACCTCCCGGGACACGATGAAGAAGGGTAAAAGAGGAAATCCAGGGAGGCAAAAGGCAGCGAGAGAGAGGCGGCAAGAGGGTAACCCGTGGCGAAATCATCCCCCGGGCCGAATTTTCCTCGAGCAAGGCACGGGAAAGATTCAGGAGTTCATCTTGAAAACGGGTTGAATGGGTGCTTCCTGACTTCATCTCGCCTCCACTACGACTGGTTCTGGCCATTTTCTGCTCTTTCCGGCCATATGTGCGTGAATGTTTGCTGGACCTTGCCGAGGGGTCTTGCAATCTAAGACAAGTCCGTCAACCGAGAGATGGCCAGAACCGCATCGGGTGCCCAAACTGCGGAATCCTCGACTGCGTTGATGATTCATTTGCGATCTGCAAGGTTAACAATCTCATTGTTGTGCCTTGTAGCGTCAGCAGGGAATGAACGCTTCGTATCCGTGGCATGCTGAGTGATGTTGAGTTGGAGTTCCGATCCCAGATCGCGCGCCCGCGGATGACGGTTGAGTCCGTTGGGGTGACAACATTAGCGTCCAATCACCGAAGACTGCCTTGAGGGTGGATACGGATGTCCAATCACGGAGATAGCTTGTGCTACGGATTATGCTCCCGCTCTTAGATCAGGGTGCCTTCACCTCTTTCATGTTAGGACGAACAGTTGAGCTTTCGGCCGGAAGCGTTGATGCAAGGAGCTTGGGAGACGTAAACGCAGGAAAGGTCGGTTCGAGGAGCTGAAGATAATCGCTCCCAATGCGTCCAGCTTTTGGCTCGGGAGGCGTTCGTGTAAAGAGGCCGTTGATGGTTTGAGAATGTGGCGTTTCCTGACATCCGCCCTCTCCCGCCGTCTCTTCTCTTCCTCTTCTCCGCCTCCGCACTCTCCGCAGCACCAGTGCCTATCCAAGCTGTCGCCGCCACAGACCGAAAGCAACACAGCAGGATGAGGCTGCGAGCTTGGGGTCCTGGGCGTGGGTCACACCTAGTGAGCTAGACAATTAGCACGTCAACTAAAGACGGGAATGAAGATCTCGGCGACAGTTGGGCTGCTGGTGCCCGGCGAAGCCGCCGTGGTTGGTCGAATTTCTAAGACACCCCCCTATGAGTCCAGACCCTTGAACTCAATCTCACCGTTCCCACGGCGCACCGACAGCTTCTTGACTATTGCTAGATCTGACTTGGTTGGATCCGGTTAACGCAAGAGGACAAGACGGCCCGGGACAGTTGGGCAACCTTACCCGATGACCAACAGAGCTGACCGCACCCGGAGAGAGGCGCTGGCCCAGGCCGGGTATGGTACACCCCCAGACATACGTGATCACGATCGCGGACCCTTGGTCTTGGCCGGGTTGCATTCGGACGCTGTGTTCCCAAATTGTGCTCACACTGAACCCCCTTTGGCTTTGTCGTGATGGCCCCTTCCGCTCCGGAGGTAGCTTGGGCGTCTGCCCGACGTTGATTTGTGGACTTTTGAGTTGACGCCCTTGTGACATGACGTCCGGAGATGGACGTCACAGTTGACGAAGGCTTGGCCAAACGCTAGAAGAAGCATACGATATGTCCCCGGCTCGATATGAGATGTCCTGATATAGAGTTTGTCTGCATTCCTTCATGAGGCTTCGATTTCGATCTCACTCACACTTTGCGAAACCGGGCTGCGACACAACATATTCAACATGTCTCCTCAAAACACTTTCACATTCCTCCTTACCCTTGCTGCCGGTGCTGCTGCCGGCCGGGTCCAGTACAGACAAGTGGACTGCTCTACGACAACAACACTAGACGCCCTTACCGTCACCAGAGTAGAGCCCATCTCGATATATATCCTGCCTGAACAACAGCAGCAACAGCCAACAGGTACGGGAGCAGACGATGAGGGTTTCACGGCAGTCTACACAACCGTCTACCCAACCTTCGCTGCGGAATGTTCTGAAGGTCTCAGGGCAGAGACTTACACCATCACACAAACCTGCTCTGGTTCCATCACCCAATGCCACGGATACGGTGATGACCTACCCCCAGGCTTCACCACCACTCAGGCAGTTTGCACCGACGGCCCCACACCGGTCACTGCGGTGCTCACCGTCCCTCAGGAGACTGATGCTGTGGTCACCGTCACTGTCGAGGAGGTCATCACTGAGCCCGGTCTGACTACTACTCGCCTTGTCACCAAGACCTGCGCCAACGGCCCTTGTCTGCCAGACATTACCGCCGCCGCCATTCCTGGGGCCGACAGGTTAACCATCAACGGAGGCACTATTGTGCTGCCTGTCACGGTCACCAAGACTGAGACCGACAAGACGACAGCAACTGAGAAAGAGACCGCCACGGTCACTACTACCAGCGACTCCAACGAGTTCAACCCCAACGGCTTCAACAGCGGAGCGGGACATATGATCCCCTCCAACAAGTCCATGGTTTTTGCCATGAGTGCATTCGCTCTTTTGTTTCTTTTGTCAGCATAGTTAGCGGAGGCAGTTGGGAGGGAGGGTATCATGTCATAGCGTCTGATTGATGAGGTTTGCAAAAGCGACCAAGGTTTATGAGCCTATTCACGAAGAATATTTGATACCATTCTGTTTTAATACCTAGTATAAACCTTCTCGGGTTATTCCTTCTATTTCCTGTATATTCTTCTTTTCTTTTCAAACGTAATTTACCTTAGCCATCACTTCAACCAGTATCATAGAACTGCTTGAGACGCTTGACGGTCTTTGGCCCAAATTTACTACCTGTAATAATTAACATTCTCCCAAATCGCCCTCGTGATGTTGACAGCGTGCCAATGTGGAAAAAAGGATCTGAGGGTCCTGGGCTATTCGGACTATGTCTCACAAGCGACACCTTCTCATCCTCAGGAAATCGATGGATGTTTGCGTGTTATCCACGCAGCTGCTAGAATTAAATGCATCTTCGAGAAGGCGGCATCGTGGACTTTGGTTCAAATTGGCGATCTAAGAATAGGCAACACACGCTACTCACATTCAATGTAGCCCCGACACGAGGGGTGTTCATTGAGGACCCCTTATGCGTGATCTTCACTGAGACCACGGTCTTGGGACCTATCCGCAGGGTCGGTAGAAACCTGCATCATGTTCCTGAAGATCTGCAAATTATGCATCATAGATCCCAATGGGATCCCACGAGTGTGAGGGGAAATACTCAGGTTGATATCACCTCGACGCAGATGTGTCAGACATGTGTTGCCAAGCTCGTCGATGGCGACCCTCGGAACAGCGTTCCAACATCGTCTCTGGGTATTCTTCGTACATGTGTCTATCCTGCGTGCCTGCTGTCTAAATGCCGTGTTTCCGCGTCTATTCTATGAAACTCCATCAACATTTCTCACGCGTAATAATATCCCGAATTCCCGCAATAATTTCCGAAATCGATCAGTACATCATTTCCCGGGCCGTTCGGGTGACAAACGTTCGGTTCATGCGGTGTGATTCTGTGACTGAAGTTCGCTTCGCAAGCCACGGATGTCACTAGCCCACCTCTCCCCATTCCAGCGACAAAGCCGGCTACGCAACTCTGCGCACCCGAGCAACCGCTGCACTAAGATCTGCGTTATTTCTCGCCCGTTGCGTCTATACCTCTGATGCAAACCAGGACCCCTCTCCTGCGTCAGGCATCCCACCGGTGTTGCTAAACGTCCACCCCCAACGTCGATCCCTGGGGTGCGAGTTTGCGTTTTCGTAGATGGCGTAGTGTGTGCGATATGTGCTCGCCAGATGCCACCACTTCTATCCGTCCGCCAACCATGACATCACATGATCCCGCTCGTCTTCGTGGGCTGACATTCACGCAGATGATGTGGGAGGCAGTTTCTGGAGGACTTGCTCCAGCCACCAGACGTGAATGCGAATGTCGTCAGTCAGCTCAGGGTGGAAACTCGTGGCAAAGATGTTCCTCTGCTGAACGGCGACGATGTCACCTACAGAGTCATCTGCCGTGCTCTGGCTGACGCCCTCAACCTTCGTCTTACGCCCGGGCAGTACTGCTAGAACTTCGACTGACGACTTCGGCTCGGCATCATTGGAAAGGATCTCCTCCACAATTGGCGCGCGAATGAAGACGCCCGGGAAAGGTGCCGACGCCGTTTTCGAACCACCGTCGCCCCTCGACAGGAAGGGCAGGTCGAGGTCCGCAACGAAGCTCTCAATCTGACGGCCAAAGTGATTACGGTGGACACGCACAGCGAGGCCGCCAATGAGCTCCTGGCCACCCTTCTTGGTGGAGTTCGCCTCATCAGCAAGCAGGATGGCGCCGGCGCAGGTGCCCCAGACCGGCTTGCGGTCAATTCTGGTGAAGAATGAATATCAGCCGCTGTCTCATGAATGAGACTCAGTAAGGGGTGTGATAAGAAACCTTTGCCAGGAATTCACCAATAACATCACGCTGCTGCGCCCGCGGACTCACTTTACAAATTCTCTTAAAGGTTCCATCAGGCC